AAATACTACTTAAGTGCTCCTACACATATCTTGCTGCTTAGAAATTCTGCAGAATTAAGATTAGAGAAATTATCCAGTATGTAACATGAGAAATTATCCATAATACTCTGTTGAAATTGTTCAGAATTGATCCAGAATAGTTCTATGAAACAATTTGGTTCCTTATCAATTTAATGAGTACATACTGAACTAAAAACATTAAGCCTGCATTACATATGGCCAACCCTCTACTGATCGTGTTTACTTGTATAAATATTACCTTAATTTAGTGTATTGTAACCGCAATGTGAGCTCAAAAACTTGGAATAAGGATAGTTTCATTGATGTAACCCCTTCAGTCTTCATACGGACCCAGAGCTAAGCTCGGATTGCAAGTAGTCCGGCCTTTTAACAGGACAGCATATTAGCTCTTTTGTCTATTGGTCGGACAGAAAGTGGGGTGGATGAAAAGTTGCCTCATATATAACGTGGAGAAATGTTTGTTCATTAGAAAATGCCAACCCAGAAAACATGCTTTGAACACATGTTTGAATGCGTGGAAAACCAAAAACACCGTTGCCCCAGGTTCTAGTTTAAATTCAAGCCAATAGGCATGAACCATGGCTTAGAAGGAGAAAATAGAATCCGCCTGGGCTTAAACCGAAATGGAGTTAGTCATCACTAAGGGTCGGAAGACAGAAGATTAACTTGCCGTATGAGGCGAATGAAAGGCGGAGGGTCTGACAGAGAGCTCTGATTTATTAGTATCATTTTATTTGTTCATTTTTTACTTGTAAATACATTTTTTCCTATACTTCGTAAATTTACTTACATCAATTTTTAGGCTTTAGATTTCCTCTATTGATATTTAGGCAAAGTGTTATCTGGGCTAATTTTTACCAGGCTAAATGTTACTTAGCCGTCAACTTACTAATACCTGTTATTTAGTGAGACCTGTGTTTCCGGGTTCAAGTCAGGCTATGTTCAGTTTGGCCCACTGGGCCAGCTTTAGGCTATAAGCTGCACTGGAGACATGGAAATCTAGTCATCTTAGTTTTAGCATGATTATGATGTTCTGCACAATACTGTAAAATTATGTGGCAAGTGAAACTTTTAATTTTGCTTTAAAAGGAGTCTTTGCCACAACACAACCTCCAATTTTCTAATCCCTATATCTGTGCAACTTGATGGCGTAAACCTTTTATATTTGTCTTTGCAAACAACCTCCAATTTTCTAATTCCTTTATCTGTACAACTTGATAGCGTAAACCTTTTATATTTCAACCTTAGATTATTTGACCTAACAGAATTCGGAGTTAGAAATATCTGAAGTCTACGACATTGGGTTGCAAAGATTTTGGAAAATCAGAGTTTGTGGCAAAAACTCAATTCCTTTGTTTTCATCAAATGCATTTACATTAATTAACTCAATTTCAATAGCTTGTATTAAAATGTTTAGTTATTGCAACTCTTTATTAGAATGTTATGTCATCTATGTTTAAAGGGACAGACCGGCTATGTAAGGTAGTTAAACTGAGTATGCAGTGTTGTGGACAAATTCATTATGATTCATTTCAGACATATAAAACGTTTCCACGATGTAAAATCACTGAGTTTGGGTGCATAGTCGACGTTCAAGATCATGATTGTGGGTGGGTACATTTTCAAAATTGTTTTTTTTTAATTATTAAATAACGACGACGAAAAATAAAGTAAAAATTATACAGTAAACTAATTTGATAGTTAAGAAAATATTTCTCAAAAGAAATTTGTCAATAAATCAATGCTAGAATCAATTATTTCGTTTTTATCATTATATTGAATTTCTTATTTATTGAATTTATTTGCAGATTTCTTCAAATTCTTCAAATGTCGTCTTTTCAATAAAAATTTCAGGAAATCTGCAGAAAATCTTTGTGAATAGTGAGAGAATATAGAAACTAATAATTTAATAAAATTACTTATTTTCGATGATCAGATTAATTTTTATTTTCTCAACGTTTCCTAAAGAACTAATTAGTTTACTGTAAAATTTTGTTTACATTTTTTGTCGTCGTTATGTAATGATTAAAAAACAATTCTGAAAATGGATCCACCCAAGTGTACGATTTTGAACGTCGACTTTGCGCTCAAACTCAGGATTTACAGATCTCTAAAAAGTTTTATATGTCTAAAATGAATCCTAAAGAATTACCCTTACATAGACGGTCTGTCTCTTGTTTTTATGTAGTCTAACAAATATACATTAAAAATTATACATTACATCTTAAATTGTAAAGATTGGTTAAATATTTAAAAGGTCACTTTCATATTCACCAATTCATTTTACATGATTCATCTTTAGCAACGTACAAAACAATAATTAGTTAATAATTAAACAAAAAATAAAAAAAGATATTTTAGATTTGTCAACAGACTCAATAATCAAATTGTTTTGATAATTATAATCATGGTAATATATAGAAAGCTCTTGTGCTCTACTTTCAGAATTTGCAAAAAATTTGCAAATTTGCAAAAATTGAATTTTGTATCGCAAAATCCAGTTATCTAGTAAAAATATTTGCAAAAAAATTTGTCCAAAAAATGAAAAATATACATTTTTAAAAAGCCCTATACCATGCCATTTTAAATATGCAAAAATATTTCCAAAATTTTAAATAACCTGATTTTTAATCCTTATGTCAAAGGCTTTCCGAAAAGCTAAATTTTATCAAAATCTGACAAGTGGAAGTGGGTCAAAACAAAGATTTAGTTTGTTACAGGAAAAAGCAGTCATTCAGGCATTGTGCCTGAGGACTCAGGCGGTTAATATTAAAGCCCAGTCATGCCTGGAGAGAACTCGTACCTGCAGCGAACTCTGGTTATATCGCTACGCGGCAAAGCGCACGTTTCTGGAAATATAAACAAACAATAATAATTTACTTTTTTGAGTTTAAAGCCAATTTTCCGTAGTTGATCCATCGTTTTGACGCATAACAGCACTTGGGTCTGTCCTAGAGATCACTTTTTAACCCCCCCCCCCTCTTTATAAATTTTTATACATATGTATGAAAACATAGTTTAAATGTAGTAGTGCTTCTAGAGGTATAATGTCCACAAATGGGGGGTGGGTCGTCAATTGTAATTTTTTTTCTAAAATGCCATGGACCTAATATGCTAAAATGTGCTAGCAGTCTCCTTTTCAAAGATTTTTTGAGAAATTAAAATCATAATTTTACTTTCCATTTTATACGACAGAATAGAAAAAATTGCACATTCTCAATGATAGAATTGAGGTTTATTAAAACTAAAAAACAAAAAAAGATTTAATTTTTTTTTGGAAAATCTTTAGAAAAAGAATACGTGTACATTTTGAAGGCTAAAACAGCAATTTAGATTAAAATCTTTTTACGGCGACCCCCCAATTTATTGACATTGTATATCTACTAGGCACTCATTGTAGTAGAATAAAACAAAGTTTAGTCGGTTTACACACAATTAATATCTTTGGAAATGGGACAAGCACATTTTCGAATATTATGCCTAATTTTGAAGTTTAACACGGCATTTTAGAGAGGAATGTTTTTTTTACCTCTAGAAGTACTTTTTACTACAAAACAATGAATTTCAGTAGGCTAAAAAACCTAAACACACTTTTTTCGGAGAAACCTTGTATTCTAACCCTGAAATAATAAAAAATAAATATTAATTTATTAATGTTGAAAAGTTGAAATTGTGTGTGCAAGCATAATAGGGCAGGGGGAGGGGTCAAAAACCCAGATATTAGAACTGAAACAAATCAGTTCCATAAATCCAAGGGTTTGTTAATGCTTGAAGAATCTAGCGCTTTGCCGCGTAGCATAACCAGAGTTTGCTGCAGGTACGAGTTCTCTCCAGGCATGACACCGGGATGGCCAGGTAGTTAAGATTGAAGTAGGACGACATTTGCTTTTATGTTTTAACAGATTTTTTTAAAATTTCTCTGATCAATCCTCTCACTCTGACAGCGGAGGTCTGAGCTAGTAAAAGTCAAAGTAAGAAGGATCCGGATCCAACTCATCTGCATCATTGTTCGCAAAAAAATCATTTCGTTTTAAAAATTTTGTTCGTTCACAAAACGATGGCCATCTCTAGTTAATCAAATATCTTCTCCTGATCTTTATTGGTAAGTTTAATTAAAAGATGAAACATTGTATTAAAATGTTACTTGGGTTTTGGCTAAAGCAACATTTTAGGTTTAAAAATATGCATCTAACTGAAGCTTTTTGATAAAGTTCTTATACTTTAAGCTAAAGATATTTTTCAAATAATTGTAACCTAACTAACAGGGTGCAAGAAATTTCTTTCTTTAGTTTTCGCGTTTTTTGAGGTCCCCTATCTGAAAGTATCATGCACAAGTATCATGTAGGCATCATAAAAGTGATGCCTACAGTCCTAAGTATTTCTAGGTAGTTACGGACCCACTCAGCCGATTACAATTCAAAAGTTTTACGCAAATTCATTTCTGTTGTCCTGTCCTTTTTAAACAAAAAACTTAGAAAATCGGCAAAGTGAAGACAAACATTGTGCTGCCAAAGTTGTCGGTGAAACCTGCCATGCAACGCGTCGACTGCGTAGAGTATATGGTTAAACAATGGGCATGGTTCCTAACTTGGCGGAGGGGGGGATAGATAAAACTCCTAAGAATGCGCGAATACCGGATAATTTTTCTTATATTCTCTCTCTCTATGACAGCTTGCCATGACAGCTTGTTTCTATAGATAGTACGGGTTAAGGATGGATGTTGAAAAGGATGGATACGAATGTTATTAATTTGATATAAGTTGGGTTTGATTGTTTAGCTGATCTGGATACTTGGATACAAATGTCATGCTAGGCTTGATACGAATGTTGAAAAGGATGGATACGAATGTGATTTATTTGATATAGGTCGAGTTTGATTGTTTATCTGATCTTGATACTTGGATACGAATGTCATGCTAGGCTTGATACGAATGTTGAAAAGGATGGATACGAATGTTATTAATTTGATATANTATCCATCCTTTTCAACATTCGTATCAAGCCTATCATGACATTCGTATCCAAGTATCCAGATCAGCTAAACAATCAAACCCAACTTATATCAAATTAATAACATTCGTATCCATCCTTTTCAACATCCATCCTTAACCCGTACTATCTATAGAAACAAGCTGTCATGGCAAGCTGTCATAGAGAGAGAGAATATAAGAAAAATTATCCGGTATTCGCGCATTCTTAGGAGTTTTATCTATCCCCCCCTCCGCCAAGTTAGGAACCATGCCTAAACAATGAACTGCGTAGACTCGCTGACGTTAGAAAATCCGCAAAATTTGTATACAATCTGTTTTCATTCGGAGATTATCCGGACAGATAGCAGGAGCAAGGTTTGAAAATTGTGTCGGCTAGTAATTAATGAAAACGTGATTAGTGTTTAGGCACTGGTCGATGAAAGGTATATCAAAAATATCATTGAAAATGGATTGAAATCATGTAGCATAATGTAGTTAAGTGAAAACCTATCAAAGTTAATTTGGATATTTTCAAAACATGATTTCCAAGTTTGGAAATGAGGCAGTAACAAGATTTGGATGTCAAATTGAATCACTAGAAGTCTCTCTTAAATTGGACAATGAGAAAATGTTTGAGGAAAGGGAATTAAACCCAGAACAAGGCTTGGTGCAATATTGTTTGCAAAATTCAAATTTGATCGATGCAAATGCTAAATTTAACGAAGCAAAAGCGGAGGAGAGTGTTCAATCTTGTGTACACGTTATACCAGACCCTTCCACCTCTCTAACTGATTCTGTACATAAAATATTAATATCCAGTTCTGAGTTTGAAGACTTATGTACAAGAGATAAATTAAAAGATAATGATAACCCTACAACTTTTAGTTTAATAAATAAATCCGGGATTCAAGAAAGAACACATGCTGACTGTACAAAAAACTGTTTAATTTTGTCACGTAAAAAAGTTTCACGGTCAAGAAGAGCTGAAGAAGAAGAAGACGATTTTTCTAAAATAACTTTTGATTTTAATTCCCCATATCCAACCCTTCAGTTAGCAACTGATCCTAGGTAATTTGAATTTGTTTCTTAAATAAAAACCTAAAAATAATGGAATTGAATTTTGTAGTCCTTCTGTTACAAAGGTTTGCATAAACTTTGAATAAAAAAAATTACTTATACACTGCATGAGATAAATAAATAGTTTTTTTATCTTTTTAATTTTGAAAATCTTATCTACTCCTCAAAATGGCTGTGGTGGGGGTGGCAGCAGCATATTGTTTTGTTTTGGCTGCGTCGCGTGGGTAGGGCTGGGCACGTTCCGACTTTTTTTAAATCGTTCCGTTCAGTTCTAGAACGAGGGCCTTCAGCTAAATCGTTCCGTTCTCGTTTCTCTTTTTTATTGTTCCGTTCCGTCCCGTTCCGTTCCGTTCTGAGTAGAAGAAGGGTCTTCCTGTTCCATTCCGTTCTTGGCGTTCTTAGTTGAAGAACGGTTGCATCACTCTTGTTCTGTTCTTAATCAAAAACGTTTCCATCTCCTGTTCCGTTCTTAGTAACGAACAATTCCATCCAAGACAAAAGTTTTATAGAAAAGAGTTGGTTAAAAAGTAAAAAAAAAATACGATTTTTTAATAAAAAGTTTCTCACGGACATTAATAATACTTTAAATTATATATTTTAAATTTAGGGTTAAAAGAATTAGCATAGATAATTTCTGGGCTGAGCAATGTACAATTTTGTGAGAGAGGGGGGAGGGGCAGGATCGTCTTAATATCCTTAATATGTACAATATACAGAAGTTAAACTGAAATCTGCTGTGTTGTCTGAGTGTTGTTAGTTTAGCAGAGACCAGGGAAGGGGGGATTGCCGGTTTAAAGTTGAGGGAGGGGAGGGGGTCAGGTAATTAAATCAAAAAATCTTTAACTATTTCTAAAAGATTTAGAACACATTCCTGATTTAAAATGCGTTCCCAACTTAAAACGCGTAAACGATTTTAACCGTTCTTTTCAAGCAATTCCCGTTCCGTTCTTTTACGAATCGTTTCAATATTTCTGAGAACGCGTTCTAAGCGTTCGTTTTTTTTCGGAACTATGGGATCGTTCTTCATCATTCCGTTCGTTCTCAGGAAAGAACGATCGTTCCACCATGAACGCGCCCAGCCCTACGCGTGGGTTCATTATGAATTATAATAAAATTATTTATTATCAAATATAAGATATTTTATTATATACACATTGTAATTTTTTCTTCGAAAAAACATTTTTCCTCAGGCAGGGTTTCGAAAAAACATCGTTGTAGAAAGAAATATATGTTGAATCTGATTATTTTCTATTTTTATTCCATGTGAAAACCGAGTTTCAAACACGTATTCGTAATTTTATTCCCGCCATTTTTTCTCATTAATTCCCGCCATTTTAAATTTATTGCACGTGGTTTAATTGCAGTAAAGAGGAGATACAAGGGTCCGTCGTTCATGAGACACATCTACACTCAGATAAATTGATATACGTCAGCAAGGTAAATAAATTGTTACAATGTCAATTTTGGAAACTTTCTTTATTTTTCTCAATGTCGAAAAGTTGCAAAAATGTCCAATAGGGGAGGGATCGGCCCACCATTAGGAATTTACGGATTTGTCTGTAAATGTGAATTATATTGAAATATTCCCACCATGTTTTATTATTCCGTAGGAAAAAGGGTAGAAATAAGAGGATATTTAACAATTTAATGGGAACTAGTTCAATACGTGCAAATCTGGAGAATTAACAATCAAAGGAAATCCACAAAATTTAAATCGTTTCAATTCAGAAAGTTCTGAAAGTGTGGGGAAAGCGGGGCACCCTCGACTAACCAGAGATAGAGGCATTCGGTTTCAAAATTTAGGGAGTAGGGCGGAAAACCAGCTACAAGAACCTGTCTTTAATTTTACGGATTTGTTTGTTTTAGACGTTTCATTCAAAATGCATTTGCCAGCAAAAAAGTGTGGACAGGGGGGGGGTGCAAAGGAAATGACAAGTAATACAAAACCGGAATAGATTTCATATCTCTTTACACTCTGTGCTATACACATATAAAATAGCTCTGAAACTTCCTTCCTATATTGTGCATGTAAAGAAGGTACTTACTACAGGGTAGAGGGCACCATTTTCTCTGTAATTTAGGAGAATTGATAAAATGCACTTATTAAGGGATACATTTTTTAGCAAAACATATAGGGGCATTGGGAAGGGGTGATTGAAATGACTAACTATTTTCAATAAATAGGGGGGGGGAGTTAATTGCAATTTAATTATTTTCAATAAATGGGGGATGGCAAAGTTAATTGCAATTTGATTGTTTTCAAATAACTACCCCAATAGAATCTAGGGAGAGGATTTAATTACCACCCATCACCCCCTTTATTTTCGCCCTGTATACCTCTCCGGTTAAATTGCCAACAGCAATAGATAACTTGATGTTCTTAGTATTAAAAGATTGTTGTTTACTTTCCGAATCAAATATTTTGAATAACGTTTAGTTTTTAAAGGACTTCATAACGTATCTTTAAGTGACCCTCCATTGCATAATGGTAGAGAGCCAATTTCTGATTTACAAGCTATGTTTGATTTAGTTTGTATTAGATATCCATATTTTTTATTTTGAAAACTAAGACGACAGTTCTTTCATAAATTTTCTTCAGGTTTTCTTTTTTGCAAGAAATCGTTACTTTGAGAAGGAAAACTGCCCTTCCATCTCAGAATATGGTTTTGGTAAGTTTTAAAATATAGAATATATAAATTAAACATATTTATTTACATATAAACTAACAAAGAAAACATGTACATACTACCTAAAGTGCCCGACGTTGCCCGTGGAATTAAAAAAATATTGGAAAAAAATGTCGAATTTTTTTAACCAATATGTTACCCACGGTTTTCGCCAGCTATAGCTCATATAAATAGAAATGAATAAAAATATAAAGAGCTTATTTACATATATTTTAAACCCCTACTCCATAACAATTTCCTCGAACCAGTAATCATCCAGTTTCACTTAGCTATCAATGTTTAAACACGGATACAAGCTTGTTAGCTATCGATATCATTCGGAAGCTCACAACAATCAATGCCAAATCAAAGGGCACGATCCTGTTAGCCATCATTGTCATTATAGACACTAGCAATCAATTGATCAATGTCTCAAACAGGACACGATCCACACTGTACACAGCTACAATTCCGTGAACTATTATCGCCACTTCCTTTTGGCGGGATCTTGTTTGCTATAACAACCAGACAATGGTCATCAATTTATCAATGTCTCATACAAGACACAATTTCAACTCGTATATTTCAATGAAAACCAAATTACTTTCAACACTGTAAGCAAAGCGGAGTTTCTGTATTAACTGATTTATTTCAGGTTTATATGTTTCAAGTTAAAGTTAATAGATGTAATTACAATTCATATGTTGTTATCATATCACATGATTAAGACAATCATGTTACGTATTAAAGCACAGTTGAAATAGATGTAGGTCATTAGATATATCACATGGTTTAAGCTAATCATTTGAAATGCAGTTTCAATGCATAATGGGTTTTATATAGCCAGCAAATATATGAATTTCTTGTTTAATTATGAGAAGAATAAAATAGATGATTTAAAATAGAACTGTGAAAATGTTCATGACAATTTTCAAAGAACTGTAAAGTTACAAATCACAAAAAACCTTATTTAAAAAAAGGAAACGGCAATCAAATACTATTTAGTTCTACAAAAATGCTTTCTTGACGTTAAATTTGTGACATTTTTAAGCATGTTATATTTATTCATACATTCATGAAGATACTAGGCGGGGCACCCTCGACTAACCAGAGATAGAGGCATTTGGTTTCTTCTATTTGAATTCTTACGCGCTTTGGTCTATATTCATACAATCTTTAATCTTACGGATTTGTTTGTTTTAGACGTTTCATTCAAAATGCATTTGCCAGCAAAAAAGTGTTTAATGAAAAAGGCTAATAAAAAATTATGCTTAATAGCAAAATTGTGATCGAAAGTCACAGCTTTCTGGAATATTGACAGAACTGTTAAATCCACGTGGGGGAGTGGCAAATAGAAAAATTCCTTTGAAGACCAAATTTTGAAAGTTTCTTTAACTGGGCATCTCCGAATTTAACTTTTAATTCTTGTTCTATCAGCCGTATTTACTATTCTTAAATTATCAAACAATAACAAAAAAATCCCATATTTATTATTTTTGTTCGTGAACTTTGTAGAAAAAAGGTTGTTAAATTTGTCACCATATACCTTTCCTGGGGTCATGTGAGGTCTTACAACAAATTTGGACAAGGTCTGTTCAGTCGTTCTGCCGTTTATTGGATATAAACATACAAACAGACAAGCAAAGTATATTATAGATTTATAGCGAATTAATACAAATTTATTTTGAGATGAAAGAGATGTCTGGAAGCGAGATATTAGAGATATCTGTGAGAATGAATGCATGAACATCCTTCAGTCAAAACCAATCAGGTTTCAGCTTTGTAACCATAGATTAACTAGGTTTCAGTTTTGCAACCATAAATAATCTAGGTTTCAGCTTTACAGCCATAGATATTAATTGAATTTTAGCTTTGCAACCATAGATTAACTAGGTTTCAGTTTTGTAACCATAGATAAACTGTTTTTCAGCATTGCAACCATAGATCAGCTAGGTTTAAGCTTTACAACCATAGATAAACTAGGTTTCAGCTTTGCAACCATAGATAGACTTACGTTTTAGCTTTGCAACCATAGATACGTAAAAAAGATTTAAGTTTTGGATCCAAAGATAAATAAACTAGGTTTCAGCCCTTGGTTTCAGCTTTGCAACCATAGATAAATTATTTTTTAGTTTTTCAACCATAGATATGTAACATAGGTTTCACCTTTGCAACCATAGATAAGAAAACAATGTTTTAGCTTTGCAACCATAGATAAACTAGGTTTCATCTTTGCAAGCATAAATAAATAAAATAAGTTTTAGCTTTGCAACCATAGATATGTAAACTAGGTTTCAACCTTTCAACCATCGTTATGTGCACTAAGTTTTAGCTTTGTAACCCTAGAGCAGTAAACTAAGTTTTAGCCGTGCATCCTACGGTAAATAAGAAAAAAATGAGGTTTGTACAAGAAACCATTAAGTTTGAAACAAAATTTACCTCTCTTTCTCCCGGAAATCTTTGGAGGACTTTGTTAGTGTTATTTTTTTAAAGTTCACAGTTTTTTTCTTCACGTTTCCATTTTTTTTTATTGACGTCTTGTTTGATCAGGAAAGATGACAAAGAATCCATATCTCAGCTGTACGGTAGTTTAGAAGATATAGTTTACAGGTAGTTTTACGTACATACATATCGAAAACTAAACAGTACATGAATTGTACAATATTTTACAAAACTTACAATAATAGATGTAAACACTTTTATGAAACTTATTTAAGTCTTTAAAGGGAGTGACCGGCAATGTATGGTAGTTGAACTGAGAATGCAGTTTTGTAAGAAATATTTTAGGTTTCATTTGAGACCTTCCAGATATTTTTACGGTGCATATTTGTTTAGCAAGAACGCAAATTTAATTTTTAAAAATTATTCAATAACAACGACGAAAAATATATCAAAAATTCTGAAGTAAACTAAATGTATAGGAACATATTTTTCAATAGAAATTTGTCAATAAATCAATGTTAGAATCAATTATATCCTTTTCATCATTAAATTTAATTTCTTATTGTTTACAAATTTGTTCGCAAATTTCTTGAAATTCTTCAAATGTCGTCTTTTCAATCAAAATTGAAGGAAATCTACAGAAAATGTTTTAGAACAATGAGAAATTACAGAAACTAATAACTAAACATTAAACTGTACAGTGCACTTCCTTAATTGTATTAAACTATGCGGTGTACTTCCTTGATTGTATTAAACTGTATAGTGTACTAACTTGATTGTATTTAACTGTACAGTGTACTTTCATGATTGTATTTAACTGTACGGTGTGCTTCCATGACTGTATTGAACTGTACAGTGTATTTACTTGATTGTATTTAACTGTACAGTGTACTTCCTTGATTGTATTAAACTGTACAGTGTACTTCCATGATTGTATTGAACTGTACAGTGTATTTACTTGATTGTATTTAACTGTACAGTGTACTTCCTTGATTGTATTGAACTGTACAGTGTACTTACTTGATTGTATTTTATTGTACAGTGTACTTCCTTGATTGTATTGAACTGTACAGTGTACTTCCTTGATTGTATTTAACTGTACAGTGTACTAACTTGATTGTATTTAACTTTACAGTGTACTGATCCATGATTGTATTACACTGTACAGTGTACTTACTTGATTGTATTACACTGTACAGTGTACTTCCTTGATTGTATTGAACTGTACAGTGTACTTACTTGATTGTATATAACTGTACAGTGTACTTACTTGATTGTATTTAACTGTACAGTGTACTTATTTGATTGTATTAAACTGTACAGTGTACTTCCATAATTTTATTGAACTGTACAGTGTACTTCCTTGATTATATTACACTGTATAGACTACAGTACTTACTTGATTATATTAAACTGTACAGTGTACTGCAGGTCCAGTGATGAAGATCTAGGATCTCCATGTACGGTAGCTCTAGTACACCTGGAGCACAGACTGGTTTCAAGAATTATCAAAACACTTCCAGGAAATTGTGGAATTTTATAATCTAAATTATAAAGTGTATCCCATTAAAAATAATCTAAAAACGACCAACGGAATAATGATGCATTCCAAGGTATGCAATATTTGTACGGTACAATTGAACGCTTTCACATGCATGAATATGAATATCATAGACTTGGTATTCTTTTTTGATTGCGAGACACAATGTATGCATTTAAAAGAACTGTTATATTCATTATTATGGTCTATATGGTTCCTTATTTAAGGATCTTTGTAATGTTTGACTAGTTCGGATAACATTTTTTTCAAAAATTGCATCTTCCACGATGAGTTTTAGGTTTCAAGCACCGTGTTTAAAAGTTATGGACCATCGCGATGCAACTTCCTGATGATCGATCCTGATGAAGCATAAAATCATACCTTAAAAATACAGTATTTTGATTTTAATAACCTACTTTTCTGATCTTTTAAACCTCCCTCTACTAAACTCATGAACTCTTAAACCGCCTTCCCCCTGAGCTCTTGAACCCTATTCCTTTCAAAAACTAGAAAACCCCCTTCTCCTTAACTCTTGAACCTCCTTCTTTTGAACTGTTGAACCTACTTCCCCTGAACTGTTGAACCTCTTTCCCCTAAAATTTTGAGCCTCCTTCCCCTGAAATCTTTAACCTCCTTCTCCTGAACTCTTGAAACTCCTTCCCCTAAACTCTTGAACCCCCTTCTCCTGAACTCTTGAACCCCCTTCTCCTGAACTCTTGAAACTCCTTCCTCTGAACTCTTGAAACTCCTTCCCCTGAACTCTTAAACCTCCTTCCCCTAAGCTCTTGAACCTCCTTCTCCTGAACTCATGAAAATCCTACCCCTGAACTCGTGAACCCCTTTCTCCTGAACTCTTGAATCTCCTCCCCCAGAACTCTTGAAGCTCCTTCTCCTTAACTCTTGAACCCCCTTCTCCTGAACTCTTGAACCTCCTTCCCCTGAACACCTACCTGTTTCTGAAAACCTAGATTACTTTGTCTGAACTCCATGTGTTTAGTTTGGTTTATAATCCTCCTTGACTCCTATAAATCTGATGGATCTAAGATTATGTTTACAAATACAACTTTACAATACTGGATTTGAAACATTGAGGCACGTTCAAAACACATCATTTTCAAGCCGATAGTTTGTCTCATCCGCTCTCTTCTCCCCTCCTTCCTTCTCTCTCTCACTTCCCCTGTCCCTTCCTCTCCCCTTTCCCTTTCCCTCCCCCCCCTTCCCTTCCCTAGGTGTTTTTTTAAAAATACAAATTTATATGTCTCTCTTCTTCTTATTCATCTTTTATCTTCATAAATATTTGAAAGATTAATTTTAAAATTTAAAAACAAACAAGAAACGCATTCAATAGGTTTTAAGTATATGTAAAGTTTTTCAAAAATAAATAAGAAAAATACTGATTCAATGAATATAGTCATGATTTTAAAACATTAAATTCTAATACTTCTGTTAATGGATATATATATATATTTGTTTGCAGATATAAAAATATAAACTTAATAAAAAGCATTTAAAAATCTGTTTAGATTAAAACTTTTAAACACGAAAAAAATTTTCCCGAAGAAGAAGTTAATGATGGAAAATACGGAAATATGCCAACAACAAATATCCTGGTTTCCTTGTAGATAAAATCAGACCGCAAGGGTCACTATATTTTCCGACAGGATGTTTAGAAACACCAATACAGGGAGTCTCAAAGTATTTCACAAAAGGACAAAAAGGGCGTTCAAGATTCTATTTCAAGTTTTCCAAGAATACCTCACAGGGTGATAAAACTACCCTACAGTGTGTCAAAAAAGTTGATAATAGTTGTGTTAGATCAGTAAAGTACAGGGTATCAAAATAAACATGCGAATTAAGAAACGAAGTTCGTCTTCGATTACCTTTAGTCAATAAATGCCAAAAGTGTATAATAAAAATTATTGTATGAGCTTTCGAAAATATGGTCTCGTCTGCCTTCTGTTCTTTGTTTCTTCAAAATTGACGAAGATAGTAAACATTTGAAAGATTTCGTTCTTATTCAATAAATTATGTAGAATCTAGAAAGATTTCTTTACATCTTCGTAAATTTTGAAGGGGCAAATTTGGTAAACCATATTTTAAAATCAAGATCAAGATCAAGATCAAGATCAAGATCAAGATCAAGATCAAGATCAAGATCAAGATCAAGATCAAGATCAGTAGTTTTAAATATGAATTGTTTTTTAACTAGAATACATAAAAAACGGTGTTCACATCATAATGCTACACGGAACAAAGATGATACGATTACAGAGTCCATTCCTTCCAACATTACAATGGTCGACTACATGGCGTCTCTCAATTGTGGTCGTACTGTGGTCGTACTGTGAATTATTTATCTATCAGAAAAGAATTTAGTGTGAGACATCTGGCGGTCAAACCTTCGTCCTACTAAACGATCACTGTTCATACATTTTTATGGAGAGAACGGACTCAGGGTTACCCACAAATATAGAATGTGACTGTTAAGACGACCGGAAACTCTAAAATACGTCGACCAATTCTTAATGTCTTATTTAATGATTTGATAAAGAGAGAGGCAAGTTTACATGTGCAGGGAATCATGAATTTACAAGTATAAATTCCGGACAGTCGTCACTGAAGTCTTATTCTTTCTGGGTCATATTAAGATATAAGTTGTCCATTAAGATTAGAAGGTTTGTAGAAAAATTACTGGTTGAGAACAACTAGAAATGTCGTCTTTCAACTAATTAGAGAGTTATTGGTTTTAAATCTTATTTTATCGAGTTATACTCTATACAAACCATTTTATCACTATTTAACTTTTACTCAATAAAATTTACATTTATTGCTTTTTACCATTTTTTAGGTTTGACAATTTGTAAATGAAGGTCTGTAATTAACTTACCATGGACGATTTAAAATCATAATTTGTCTAACCATCATCTTCTTATTCCACAGATTTCAGAACATATCTGTGTCGTAATATTAACCTCATCAATTTACGAAAATAAACAAAAACTGCGAAATTTATTTAGTGCATGTTTTTTTATAATTTGGCCTAGAAAATAACTTGCCAGGTAGATACAATTCATAACCTAAAATTGATATTAGTATAAGAAAGAACATTTCGCATTTCCTTTATCAAAGCTAAAATTTCATTTTAAAAAAGTCAATTAAATTTTTCAGTGTAAAAATATTAAATGTAATCACGAAAATTAAGAATCTAAAACGATGGCATAATTGATCTTGTAAACATACTTTTGATTTACAGAGTTATATCATAGAACATGAATTTAAAATACAAACACAGACTATAGTTTTCCCAGTCTTAAATCATTACAAGCAATACAACAGCCGAAGAAAAACAATATATTACAATTTTTGAATTAAAAAATCTGAGATGGACAGTGTGTACTGTGTACACTGTACAGTGTACATGCACCTACAGGCAATCCAAGTTCCGAACAAAGGTCTAAAATAAAAAGATTTTTTTTTGCATAGATATTGAGAACAGAAAGCTTAAAAACTACTTCCCCCCTGCGCTGGTCTCCGACCCCTAAACCTCTCTGTAAACATGTAAAGAATCGAATGTTCATCTTTTAGTTGAAATTTGGTCAGTAAAACTAAATTTTGAATTTTTCAAAATTTTTTTCACATTCATTCCCTTTAAGACGTCTCTCTACTGTAGGATCGGGAACAGGGGAGCGGCAGGTCTTTTGCACCCCCCCCCCCCTGAGATTTCAGAATAGTTCCTCAATAGCACTTAAGGGAAAGAAAATTGAAAAATAGGAAAAATATCTATTTTTAGTTCCTCAATAGCACTTAAGGGAAAGAAAGTGAAAAATAGGAGAAATATCTATCTTAAAACTTTTTTTCTTCCTAAATCTGGATGTTTTTGTTCCGAAATAAATCTATAAGCACCCTCCTCACTGCCACTGATGAATTGTTTAATGGAACATCCTGTATTTTCATGATTAGTTTGAAGAAAATTATAATTGTATTGACCTGTCCTCCCATACATGTCTGCCATCTGCAGGCAATCTCCAGACTTGTCTCGTCTGAAAAAGGTTTTAATGTTATATCAACCTTTTTAGATCCAGACTGCTAAAAAAAGTTGCATCAATTTTCAGGACTTAATCTACTTTAAAGTTTTGCAACGCTTTGTCCTTTGATTTTACCTCACCAACTCATTGATACTTTTCTTTCAAAACTTTAAAGCACTGTTTTTAACTTTAGTTTTAAAGGAAGATATTGGCAAACTTCTCATCGATTTTCGCGTGAAAGCTTACAAAAAATGTCTGTTAGGGATTGCATTTTATTATTATATTCTACAAATATCTAAAAAAGCTAAGATGTCAATGAATAAAAAAGTTGACTTACGACAGAGGGAAAATACTACGGCACGTTATATCGATAGATACATAGCTCCGAAACATTCCATGCAGATTTTTGTTAAAATAACAATTTTTCATAATTGTAAATTTAAAACCTGAGTCAATAATTAGAAATGTAGAAGCTGTAAGTTCAAGTCCATATTTCTTCATAAAGTCCTTAGTTGACCTCCGTGGACCTCGTCCGTTGGACATCTGTGGACTACAGGAGTCCGTTGGACCACCCTCATCACTGTAGTCCAGGGCTCGAGGTTGCTTCATCACAAAATATCCAAATCTGGTAAAAATTCTTACAACAGTGGTAGACGATTAAATCAATACAATGAAGACGACTTTTTTATGAAAGTTTTGATTGTTAACAAGCTTTTTTCAAATTACAAGTTTACAAGTAATCAAAGAGAAGCTTTTTTAACAAACAGATCACTCTATGATAAAGGAAAATTACTCATTTGGTAATTTGTAAATGTAAAATACCATACTTCATAAATTAAAGAAATAATTTATGATCAATTACGATTTTTGTAAAAAATTTGACGCAAAAGAAAAAATGTTTTTAAGCCTAGCATTTTTTTAATCAAATTTGAAATTCAAAAAAAAAATATGGCGTCCAACCTATGATCACCGTTTCCTTCTGGCAGTACAAGAGGGAAAAGAAGATCAAAGACGACCTCTCCGTCATCTACAGAGTCTCCAGGTATATTCGCTACAAACCAGTGCCAGAATTCAGATAAGGTTCTGGGTAAGAATAGGTAAGAATATGATAAGTTAACAAAATAAAAAATAAAAACTACCAATAACTGAAAATTGAAATTTTTCATGTTTTAAAGAACCCTCTATAGATAGATCTTTCTTACAAACTCTTTAGAAAATAACTTTTTGATTTGCACTTTTAATTATACTTTTTTCTCAATAACACAAACTTGCGAAATATTGCATATTCACAATTAAGGACATTGTCAGAATTTAACACTTTTCAAGATAAAAAACAAAGATATCTTCCTTGTTGTTGCTAAGATAAAGATGTAAAAGTGTTGTTGTAAATCAGAAATTTCATGTCGAATGTTCATCTAAGAACGTGTTTAAAAAAGTTCAACAAGCCCTTTTTAACGTTAAAATGAAAAATATTGAAACCTGTTTTTCCGTGTGTTAATATCCAAATTGGAAACAATAAGAGTATACAATGCTCCATCTTCAGATGGCCTAAACAAATATTCTTTAAACAAAAGATTTTTCATTATATTTTGAAAGTGAATGAGTATTGACGAGTTAAAATATTTCAAATAAGAAAAAATATTTAAGCGAATGAATGAAGCTGCAATAAAGAGTAAAAAAGAAAGAATAGAGTAACAAAGAGTATGAATGGCTAAATATAGTTGCAAAGAGTAACAACGAACTAATGAAGGATCCAAGAGTATGATGAACGAACAAATATAGAAAGAAAGAGAAGAAATAAATGTGTAAAGTAGCAAAGAGCAAGGATGAATGAATATAGTTACAATTAAATGATTAAATAAAGTAACAACTAGAGTATAAATAATTGAATAAAGTAACAACTAGAGTATAAATAAATGCAGAGAGTATTAAAGAGTGTAAATGAATTAGTATAACAACAAAGAGTATGAATGAACGAATATAGTCACATAGAGTATATATGAACGAATATAGCAACAAAGAATATAAATTGAATGAATTACCAGTGCATCATTGGTTTGTATCTAGTGGTACCAGCTGTAACCCTCATTCCAGGAAAAGTTCGAACTGTTCTGTAAATCATAATTCTTTAAAATAAAAAGAATTCTCAAGTTAGAACTGTTGTGTTGGGAATCTCAGGATAAAGAATTGGTCTCATATTTTGCAGATCTACGGATAAATCTAATTCTGGTTTGATATCCTTTGGTTGTCATACCTTGAAGAGATAACCATATTCTGAAGGGACAGATCAAGTATCTATCCTCTATTTCAAAAGTGCCCAAAGTGGACAATGAGATAAAGCGCTCAACATTTGTGATATTCAACTCAAAAGTTCGGACCTCTATTTATTATCACGCACAACCGGTGTACATTTGAATATCCGAGCTGGGTTAACCTTTGCGGTCCTAGTTTGGACTGTTTCGCCAATTTACAATTACTAAAGCAGCATACCTGTGTGATATATAAATATAGAAAACTAAAACCTGAAAATGTTTTGTATCTATAAATTTGGTAAATATCCACATTTGCAATTTGTTGTAAAGATATTTCAATAAAGTGTTCTTTTTTAATTTTCGCACAATTCAAACTGGACACTTAATTATTAAATTTTTATCAGCTCAATATTCAAGGCAATTACCTATACAGTGATTATTTAGCGAGTTTAAAAAACCTGTATGTTAGGTCTAAAGGGTAGAGAGGGGGAGACTCAATAATATCTGGAATCATTTCATTCCCAATAAAGATGTCTCCAACAAGCTGGGTTAATTTCTCTTCACACTGTTGGATTCTGGGGCCTTAAATAGATTCACCAATTATTCAAAAGAACTGAAAACTTTTCTTTAAGCAACTGAAGACTTCCAAGCGATGGATTCACAACAGTACTTTTCAATGCTTTGTTTTAGACTGACTTCGGCATTTTGCTTGATAAAAATAGGCAATCAAGCACCTTTCAAATTATAAAAAAGACGATATCTTCCACTTTATTGATCAGATTAATATGTTTTAAAAGTAAAATTTAAAATCGTGCATTGCATCCCTCATATGAAATGAAAGTTCATTTGAAAATACAACGCTTGTCCCTAAAAAATCTATCTTTTGTGAAAAATCTGTGGCCTATCATACAAAATAATTTAGTCAACAGATATTCCAATTTTTTCATTTAAAATTTGTATAATAAAATAATTACCTATTAAACTGGATCTAAGACTTTTAACCCTTAGCCTTTGTGAAGATGTTGAGATATCATCCAAAAGTCCTAAAAATGTGAAAAATAAAATATTCAAAAAAAAGTATTTAATATTTTCATACCAACATCCACAGTGTCCGGGATTCCAGGTAAACCTCGTACAAAACCGGTTTCTGAAGCTAAATCCACATCTGATACTGAACCTAGAGATTATGGTTAAATATTAGACAAAAAACGTATTTACATAAATTATAAGTTTCCATAAGCGTCAAACGTCGGAATCAAATGAGCCCATATTTTTGTAGGGCAATTAAATAAAAAGGCAACATTCAAAGCACTCTGGCTAGAAAACATTATAATTGTGTACAACTACTCATTTGGGAAATTAAAATTTTTACTTTCCCACGGGTCTTGGTAAAGATAAATTCTCTTATCTTCCCTGTAATGCATAAGGTAAAATAGCTGTAAATAAATCTATCGGATTTTATTCACCTGGATTCATGGGGGTCATTGAATCAAATTCATTCATATCATTCATCATGTTAAACATGTTTTCCTTCGGTATAACATCAGTTGAAGGTCTGTAGGAAGGTTTCTGGTAGCTGCTCCCATATTGCTGATTTCCATTCCCTTGAGAATAAAATGGTATACTTATCTGCAAACTAAAATATATCCTTTCTGTTAAGAAAATCCATAAAGACTTTTATTTATCTTAAGCGAGATGTACGATCAATTGTTTTCCAGTTTTGCAAATATCATCTATATAACAAAGCTCTTCGTTCATATATACATATATTTATATGTCAGCTTTAGCCGGCCAAACGGCTAGACCAAATTGGCTGAACTTTTATGTGTGAACCAATGGGTACCCTGGGAGTAACTCTTTGAAAATCTAAATTCGATTTTTAAAAAAAATTTCACGGGCAACGCCAGGCAATTCAGCTAGTTATCAATAATAATGGAGACATGAAAATGTATAGTTGAAGTGGTTTGACAATGATACAAAGTTAGTATACGGTCTCAAAACTTGATGGATTATATCTGTGTTTAAAATAGTTTAAAGGAGCTGTAGACATAATCTCTAGTATTTCTCAATTCAAACAGAAGCATGCTCGATTAACAACAGTATCCTTAACACGTCTATCAAAGTAAAACTAAGGAAGATTTCGTCGTTAAAATCTCCTAATTTCTATAACAATTTCTGTGTAAGCATAAATCCGTAAAACAGTACAGCTTCAGCTGGAAAATTAAGAACATTTCATATAACCGTGACCAGTCAAGTTATAAATCGGTATGGCCACGCTATCAAAGTTGAAACTGGGCTGACATTGTAATAGGGGTGCTTGCTGGGCGACATTAAGGCCGGTACAGAGCCTAGAGGGCGTCGTGACTGTTTGAATTCAAAATGACCCTAGCCCTCCGTAAGATTTAAAAGGGACTAAATAGGCCTAAATTCAAGTTACTCTCCAGTTATGTGGACATTAGTACCGTTCCAGTTAGACCTGGTTTGGTTACACTTTGAACGTGAAATGGGAAGCTTATTAAATTACCTGGCCTCTCATATGCCTATTTACCTACCCCACTGGCTTAGTTTAGTGTGACCTTGACCAGAGATAACTTACCTTGAAGTGGAAGCTCTAGTGAGCTTAATTGGTTTTGTCTCAAAATAGCAATCTGCATCGGACTCAGATTATTTGCTGCATTGTCTAGAGCATTGGCTCCTCCATAAAACAAGTTTCCCTATAACAATATCAAATTTAACACAATTAAATTGACATAAAATGTATTTTGATGTATTTTTTCTAGAACTTCTAAAAATGAGAACCTTAGTTCAATCATTTGTTTTTCATTTCAAAGTTAGATTTATTGGAAATTTTACACAGTTTAATGACCTAAAATGTTCAACAAAGCCCAAACAAATTACGTTGCATTGCATTTTTAAAATATTTAAGGCTTTTAATTTAAAATCGTTGAAAATTTTTTGGGAAATCAAATAAGTCAGAGTAAAAAAGTTCAATAAAATCAGAACAAAATTGAGCAGATTTCCAGTCTAACTCACTCATTTTAAAAAATCTTTATATTAATTATTTTTTGAAATTAACTAAGCAAAAGATTTCCGGGAAAATGTGATATAACATGAACATTTTAAAGTAGATTGTTTTTGGTGCAGGGTCCCGTTTTTCCTTACATATAGTCTGCATGTTTACCGTACAACTTGCTCAGGCTGCTAGATATCGGTACGCTACTTCAATTTACAATGACACCCAATGGATAAATGGAATATTTGCGCTAGAAATTATGACAAAAAATATCGCATTTATTGTCAAAGGTGGGAACCCTGGTATTCTGGATATCGAGGTCAATGCTTGATCTTGATCTTTTGTTAATATAAAAACAAAATTAATCGTAATTGCCTTGAAGAGTGTCGTCTGTGGAAAATGAAAAGCCATTTTGCGTTCAACCAATCAGAGAATAAAGAAATTGCAGATATCCAAAATATCTTCTCTACCTTAAACCTAAGAGCATTGGATCCAGTTCTGAGAGCTCCAGCCTTCAAATTGTTAATCCCATCCAGCACATTTCCAGATTGATATGGATTATATCTGGGAGGTTGGTTTGGAGCAGAATACCCGTTGTTTAAGGGGGCAGCATCACGAATTCGAATACCAAACAATGTTCCTGAATAACGACAATATTTCTTTTATCCATCAAATCACAAAATATCAAAATATAAGATTCGAGTCTTGATTGCCACAAACTCCGAGTTTTAAATCCCTAAATCTTTGCAACCCAATGTCGTAGACCTTAGATATTTCAAGCTATGCATTCTGCTAGATTAGATAATCCCTGTTTAAAATATCAAAGGGTCACACCACCAGATTGCAAATATGTAGGGATTAAACAATTGGAGTTTGTTGCAAAGAATCAATTGCTTGTTGTTTCTTTTTACCTTGAGTTACTTGTGCAGTGAGGAGGGAAAAAAGAACAAATCCGTTCATCTCTATCTAGGAGTTCACCTGTATCTCTATCTAGGAGTTCAGCTGTTTCTTTGGAAGACTCTAAAGATATGGTGACTGTAAACAATTGTTTTTGTGAATAATGCTGAAAAATGTACACACTGGACTCACAAAATATTTTGTACAACCTTTATTAAAATATATTTTTACAAATTAATAAACTTTTACAATTAAATATTTTTAACAATGTTTTACAGAATACAATTACTTTGGTAATATGCCCCAAAGTGGACAAATGTTGAACGCAGCTCAGTGATTACCCAATTAAACATGTATATTTATATATATTTAATTATCTACTGGCACTGCATGCACAAAGTATTTTTTGTTATTTATGATTAACAAATATTCAAAATAACATTTTCAATTTCTACTCTCTTTCTTTATTGCACTGAATTATGAGACTTAAAGATTTGGCAAAAAACCGTAATCTTTAGGTTATAATAAGGTTTGAATTTACGTTTTGAGATTTTTGAGATTATACCTCTCAAAAAAACTCACAAAATAAAAAAAATTGAAATCTTAAAAAAGACTTTAAGAAATAAATAAAGAAATAAAATGTTTTGGTAATTTTTAAGTCACACTATAAGATCACTTTATCTAAAGATTCAGCCTTTAAGCCTTATTAAGATGAAACTCCATAGAATAAACTAATTCTTCTTTTATCCTTTGATCTATTGATCCTTTGCTCTTTGGATCCTTTGATCTTTTAGATCCTTGGATCTTTGGATCTAATAAACTTTTGCTCTTTTGTACCATTCATGGTTTACTCTTTTGATCCTTTGAGTGTTTAATCTATTGATCTTTTGATCTTCAGATGGTATGATTCCAGGTACTGTTGGTCTAGTTACATTGGAGCGGGCTAACCAAGTTTATTGTGTTTCCGATACACTTCTGCCACTCACAAGCAATCTAAATATAAAGAAAAAATGTCTTTGTTACAAAAATGACAATTGTTGGATTAATTGAATTGAGATTTGTAACAACGGTCTCATCGATTAAATCGATTTTCAACTCAGATTCATTATAACCTAAGGTATCAGTAACGCAAAACGACAATTGAGAAAAAATCTTTTTTGCTTAATTGTAAATATCCAAAATAAAAAAATAATTTGAAGATAATTGGTTTATTCTGACATCAAATACTGGGATGAATTTAACAATAATAATAAATGTTGCTAAAAACATGATAGTTTAGTTTCAAATTAGGAATTGAAACTTTAAGATAATGATGATTAACAAATTCAATTTTTCTCATCTCTAACTCAACTTTTTTATATCTCTGTAGCCTGACTCTGTAGACCTTTGATATTTCAACCAATAAATTCTGATAGATCAAACATTCAAAGTTTAAAATATTACAGGTGTACACAATCAGGTTGCAAAAATATAGATATAACAAAGTTAGAGATTGAGGCGTTTCTTAATGTTAATATTTTAGAAGTGCTAATTCAATTTAAAGACACAAAAAAACATGAGATTAAAAAATTTCTTTCATAATCAAACATTGGATTAAACCTTTTATTGATTAACATTGTAAACTTTATGAATACAAATCTAAATTTAAAAAAACATTGACTAACCTCCATGCTGGCCTCATTGGTATCCATTACAATGAAGGTGGCCGCGGTCAGCGTAAGATCGTATTTCTTCATAAAGTTCTTCGTAGATCTAAAATTTTAAAATTTTTAGATTAAATAAATCCTATTATTAGGATATAATTGAAATTTACTTTAAAGTGATCATGAGTGATAAAGCATACATTTAAAATCTGGCCGTAAAATATGAATAGACTAAAGTTTTGCAATGATTATATCATGCTGGAATCTTCAAACCCATGATAATGATGTCAAACTTTATTCAGGTAAAACTTAAATCTCTTCTGCCTCCGTAATGGCTAAAGTTCGCGATATAAAATAAATAGCAAAATATTTGCATACCTCTGCCTATCATTTTCCCTTAGGAGCAAATCGGAAAAATTCTACGGTTTTCACTATAATTAACAAAAAAGATTGAAGATCTATAAACTCGGAATTATTTGCGGCATTACACTCCAGGAATATCTGAAAATGCGCGTAAAAAAGGTGAACATAACGGGGCCTGATTCTTAAAAATAGTTTATCCCGGAGGATTGAACACTTAAAAAAAATAATATTGGCAGGACGAGAATTTCGAGGTGGCTCGGATGAGAAAATGAGGAAAATGTGGCTCAAACGAGAAATTGTTGTAACTGGCCTTCCTCCCCTCGAAGGACGAGTTCTATCAACTTCTCTTTACAAAATACAAGTTTTCTTACTTGAATGGTCCTCTTCCATTAGACATCTGTGGACTGCAGGAATCAGTTGGACCTCCTTCATCTCTATAGTCCAGTTCTCTAGGCTGCTCAAATACAAAATATCCATATCTAAAATTTAGTTAATTTGATTAATATGGTTTGTGGTTAAAGTTCTTAATTTTGTAATTTATTTAGTAATCAAAATATTTAGATATAAAATCTGAGGCCGAATTTAAAGAATTTGAGCCGCGGCTTAAATTTAAGCCGTGGCTTAAATATGGTTGGTTCCACTTAAACTTAATTTTTAAAGATTTAAGCCGGCGCTCTATTGAAACCGGTTTTTGGGGGACGACGCTGCTAAAATTCATTAAATTCGGACACTGATTATTTTATTCTGTAATTAAGATTTCCATGACAACTTTACATTTATAAATATAATTGATAAGTTTTATTGATTTAATGATTTTTATTGATTTCTTCCTGGTGTATTCTTTTAATGTTTGGTTTAAGCTTAACGGGACAAATAAAGTTTGATGACTACTGCGAAATAAGCGATTTTTTTTAATATATAAGCGATTTTTTATTTTGAAATTTAAAGCACTAAATTACATACCTATGATCACCATCTCCTTCTGGCAGTACAAGAGGGAAAAGAAGATCAAAGATGACCTCTCCGTCATCTACAGAGTCTCCAGGAATATTTGCCACAAACCAGTGCCAGAACTCAGATAGGGTTCTAGGTAAAAAATTGACAAATAAGCATTCACAAAATTTGTCATTTTTTTTATTTCTGTACTCTTACTTTTTTGTCAAACAATTGATTACACCGCTGAAAAACTAATTTTAAGAAAGAAGGGCCCACATTTTATGATCTGCAAGACCCATTTTAAAATATTTTGCATTAAATTACCATTTTATTTTTTGTAGCAACAATGCATTTTTAATTCCTTCTACCTGTTCCTTCTTGAGTTAATATCTAGGTTACTAAGCACTACTGTATACAAGCTGTCCGGTTGAGCAGGCCATTTTAACATGGGCTTAAACCTAAACACACAAATAATTTTAACATCGGCTTAAACCTAAACACACAAATAATTTTAACATCGGCTTAAACCTAAAGAAACAAATAATTTTAGGTTTAACTGTACAGGGGTCCAATTAAGCATGGGTCTTAGGACTTTTTTATGATTTAATCTACAAATCCACAATTTACATATTTCAAAAGCCATTGCAAATGTATGCAAGATGGTACTTAAGCTCAAGGGTCAAATAAAAAAATACATTTTCACGAAATAGGGTAAGCATAATAAAATAAAAATCTAACTTAAGAAAATGACAAAAATATATTTTAGAAGATGCGTATTTCAAGCAGTTAAGGGGGCCCGGATATGAAAATAAATAAAATGTAAGTGAGAAAACTAGGGCAATATGGCTTAATGCAGAAATGATGTTGCTCGCCTCGTTCACCAACCTTGTCATATCTGCTGTGAGATGCATACCGGGGAAGGTCCTGATGGTCTTGTAGGTTAGGTCCAGGGGGTACATGGGGGGCTCATCTATCACGTCGGGGATTATCTAAACAGGATTCAATATGGAGAGTAAAAAGACGTAGTTGAACCACTTCCCTTGTGTGCTGGTTTAAGTTAATTAAAGAGAAGTGGCTCAACGTCTTACACATCTAGCTTTTAAAAAAAATTTTACAGTTCAATTCAAATTTTATAAAAAATTTGAATAACACATTTTTCTGCTGTTGAGTTAAGTCGATTTTCCAAAACTTTAAAATTGTTTGAAGCAAATTGTTTGTATGGTATAAATGGGTTCTTGTCTCAATAACTTGACCAAATATCTTGCGTTAAAATTCACCAACTGGTTTTCAAATGTAGTTAAAATAATAGTAAGAAAACATAATGTGACTATTTCCATATGAAGTCTTCTGAAATCAATTATCACTATAGCAGGAGATATAGAAATATTTCAATATTAATGTTTGTTTTTAATGAAGTGTGCACATTCTGTATTTATTTTCAAAGTGGAGATATTGTCGGCATCATAGTTTTTGCATTCAAATATTGAGTCTCTACCATAAACTCAAATTTTCTCATCCTTATATCTTTGCAACCTGATGGTATAAAACCTTCAAAATTAGATTATTTGTTCTGATACAGGGTGTCCCAAAAAACATGGGAATTCAGTGACGAATTCGATATCGTCTTAGTTATGAATTAGCATTGTAATACCTAATTTCAAAAGCCATAATGGTATTATGTCTGCTAGAGTTTATTTTATGAAAAGGGTAAAAGACTGCAAAGATGTGTCCATAATGTCTCCGCAAGATGAACAGTGAAGACGGACAAGTTTACTCTGTTTGTATACTGCAATTTTCTTGTTTTGCTAAGTACACCCGTATGCAGTTAAAACATAAACAAACAAAATGTGAACATAGCAGACGAAACTCTTACAGATTACAGCTTTCTCAGTAGGTATCATATCACTATACTAAATCAAAGAATTATTTGAAAAGACGATATCGAATTCGTCACTGAATTCCCTTGTTTATTGGGACACCCTGTAGAATTTATAGTTTGAAATATTTGAGGTCTACGACATAGGGTTTAAAAGATATAGGGATTAGAATATCAGAGTTTGTTTCAAGACTGGCACTTAATTGAAATAAAAATATTAGCAAGAAAAAAGTAAAGTAAGTGACAATTTCTATGTAAAGTCTTCTAAAAAAATGATTGAAATCAATTGTCACTATGGCAGGAGATGTAGAAATAGTTCTTTCAATGTAAATGCCTGTTTTTAATTGCAGTGTGCACGCTTGCTGTATTTAGTTTGAAATATCTAAGGTCTACCGTCATGGGATTAAAAAGATAAAAATTATAAAATATCTCCTTTGGGCGAATTTCTACAGTGACGTAGCGGAAAACTCTGAAATAAGAAGACGACTTCTAGTCTCAACTCTCAAGTTTTGAATTTAGATTACCCAATGGACATGTGACATCGCAATAGTGCATTGTAAACATTGTTTACTTACTTAGCAATTTAATAATTTACTGATGGAACTATATGGCTTTGTAACAACACAAAATACAATTAAGGTCGATAAACAGACAACAGTTTAAAAGGTTCTCTTGTCGATAAACAGACAACATTTAAAAGGTTCTCTTGTCGATAAACAGACAACTGCAGTTTAAAAGGTTATCTTGTCGATAAACAGTTTAAAAGGTTCTCTTGTCGATAAACAGACAACAGTTTAAAAGCTTACCGTTGAGAATCTCACATTCCATTCTTCTTATATTTAAATATAGGATCACCTTGAGATACGTCTACAGACCATATAAAGATGTTTATTTGTGAATTTATTAGAAAAATACCTCATTTCCCATGAAAATATCCTTGATTAGACGAGAGAGAGAACTAGATTCAGCTGAGCACCTTCCCTGGCCACCCTGCAAAAAAATTTATATTTTTTATCATCTTTTAAATATGTTTTCTTCCTTTTTCCTGAATTATATGTGTTACAAATCAAACTGATTTCAGAAGAAAGGTGAACCCGTTGTTACGTTTTGTTGCTGATTAAGTCGGTCACCTAAAAAAGCAATCTTGATAGTATAACTGAAAGATTGCATCAACAACACCGACTTTTATGCCCCCCCCCCCCTATTCCAAGGACGTTTCATTCATATGGATTTTGTGAACTATGTGAAGAATTTAAAGCTTCAAAGCACAAGTTTCCTGCTTTTGTTTTGAAGGAGTATTTGGCAAAATCCTGATAGATTTAGCCCTATTTTACTTCACAATCAACGAATACAGATATACACATTTGGACACCAATTTAGTATGAAATCCATCTTAGAAGGAAGGAAAACTTCTATCGAATTGTAACTTTAGAAATCTAATCTTTTACACTGAAGACTGATGTAGAATTGATATTTAAAACTAGAATAATTGTGATTAATGTAGTTGTCAAATTTTCTAATTTCAAATGTTTATAACATCAGGTTGCAGATATATACGGATTATATATTTTTTATTTCCTGTATTCTCCGTGGTTTAAAATCCTCCATGCACAATATAATATCCGTCTATATTTAAATCCTCCTTTAGTGTCAGATTCTCAGCTGCGTCACATGTTTGTAACATCTGACGCACAATTTTACTTCTCCTTATTTAACCTTCAACCTATAGTGTGCAAGGACATTAAATCAAGAGATAATTTAATAAATCAAATTAAACTTATTTATTATTGAACTAGGTGGGCCCATGTGACCCAACAACTAGGGAAAAATTTTAATTTCATGATGTCATTGCAAATTTGAGGTAAATATGGAGTGATAGGGAAGTAAAATTGGTGAGGTGAAATGGAGGAAAAATCGAGGTAAAATTGAGGTAAAGTGGAGGTAAAATCGAGGTAAAATTGAGGTTAAGTGGAGGTAAAATGGAGGTAAAATTGAGGTAAAATGGAGGAAAAATGGAGGTAAAATTGAGTTAAAATTGAGGTAAAATTGGGGTAAAATGGAGGTAAAATGCAGGTAAAATAAAGGTAAATAGAGCTAAAATGGAAGAAAATGGAGGTAAAATGGAGGAAAAAAGTAAAATTGGGGTAAAATGGAGGTAAAATTGAGGTAAAATTGAGGTAAAATTGGGGTAAAATGAAGGTAAAATGGAGGTAAAATAGAGGTAAAAAGAGGTAAAATGGAGGAAAATGGAGGTAAAATGGAGGAATAAAGTAAATTTCTAAAACCTTTTAAAGAAATACGCTCTATACCAATTTTTAGAATAAAAAGGGGGGGGGGGGGGCATATATTCAACTTAAAGATGCAGAACAAAACAATTGGTTTTCACACAAATTTGCAAATTCACATTTCATGCAAATGTCTTAGTTTGGTAGTAATTGTTTCGAAAAATGTAGTTCCGCAATAGAATTGGTTTTAATGAATAATTGTTTATTTTGTGGTCCATGGTCTATGATGGTGGAAGTCAATAAATGTACCAGAGAAACAATTCAAGACACAGTTCAAGATTGAAATCTTGTATATTTTCAATCATAACTCCTCTTATTGCAGAGATATTGAGAAGAACAAAATTGTTTTGAATTTCTAATATATAACTGGATGAATTTTTGCATCAGAACTATTGAATTAGAAATGATTTTATTGTAGAAACTGACATTTTTAAACAAAAATATTTTTTTAAATTTTGGTTAATATTCCCTCTTTACTTCAAATTTTGCGAACTGAAATCTACAGAAATGTTTAGACCATAAAAACAGCACTATTATTAGGTTTGTTTACATTTCTCCCAGACATTGCAGTACACTTTTTTGTAAATAAGCTCGAGGGAAAGGGGTCCCTGGTAAATTCCTTGATGCAAGTGACCCTCTTTTCTCCCCCCCCCTCTGCTCCCGTGGACCATATGTGTTGCTCTATAGTTTACTATGTTACTCGAACTGTTGAATTTTATAGAACAATAATAAATTTGTGGTTTCTATCTTGTTAACCTCCTGGGGCAGTTTCTAAATCAGTATTAATGGACGCTTTTATTCAACAGGAAGTTCAAACATTTCAAGGGGTCCGGGGCCTCAACGAAAAACGTTTATATAGGAGGATATATTCTTGAGATAATATTCTTTTATTGATTAATTTTCAATTTAACAAGATTTGAAGAGATAACAAAATCCTAAAAAAAACTATTTTCGGAATTTTAAGTATAATTGACAAAGAACCTTTTTTGTCACGAATTTTAAAAATAATTTACGCCTAGGAAATAAGTTTTTGCCACAAACTCTAATTTTCTCATCCGTAAATCTTTCCAACACAAGGTCATAGACATTTAACATTTAAAACTATGTATTTTGCTGTATCAAATAGTCTAAGTTAGAAATATTAAAAGTTTTTATCATCAGGTTGCAAAGATATAGGGATGAGAAAACTCAGTTTCTTTAAATGTCACATGTAATTATGAAAATAAGCAATTGACATTTGTGTTAGCACAAGCTATACATTATTGAATTGGGAAAGATGAATTTTTACAAAATATTGAACATATTTTATGATCATTAATTCCAAATGTTAGAACTCGGGCTTGACAAATTTAAAACAAATTAAAACTGAATTAAGAAATTAGTTTCAGTAAAATTAACAAAACTTATGGTGAAATTAAAACTTCACCCGAAGGGATAAAAAATTTATTAGTTTTTGTTTTTGTTTCAATATCTAATTAAAATTCTAAATCTAATATCAATTATGACATCAATATTAATATTAGTATCAATATTATCATCATCATTATTATTATTATCATTATTATTATTATTATTATTATTAATATTATTATTATTATTATTATTTTTGTTTATATCCTAATGATGTTTATGTTTTGCACCAATACAAATATTAATTTATCTAATTGTTTGTCAACAAGTGTCACGTGTCTGAAGAACAGGTCTTGTTGGTTTGAACTTTAAGAAACTGTTGTTAATTTAAGAAACTACTTTGTAACTATTTTGAATTTAATTTTTATCAACTTTCAGACTGGACAATCAAAGATCATCACCGATCCTCCTTTGTTCCCAGCTTAATTACGGTTAAAAGATAAAGCTAAGAGTTAAGAAGATTCGGGACCTGTGACTTATAAATTGCGTTTCAAGGAAAGTAAACTCTGAAAGCTCCATGTGGAAAATTATAGACTTGGTGCTCAAGTAACGAAGAAACACCGTGACGGTAAAATTTGCATTTTTGGTTAAATGGTTGAATGTGTGCAAAAATACTTGACATATTAATTTTATTGCAAAAATCTTTATATTTATCACATTTGCAAGGTTTGGTTTAATTGCTGGGTGACACGGTTTGAAGGGTACTAAAAAGTACAAAATAAACCATGTTTATATCATTAAATAATATTAAATAACTAGATATTATCTAATAAAACATTGAAACTTTAATTGTTTAGAGTTAAGATTAGCTAGATTAGCTAGAATCTAGATTTGCTAGACACGCTAGATGCTTGATTAGCTAGAATCTATTTTACCTAGAATCTAGATTAGCTAGAATCTAGATCAGCTAGAATCAGGATTAGCTAGAATCTAGATTCGCTAGAATTTAGATTAGCTAGATTCTAGATAAGCTAGATTCTAGATTAGCTAGATTCTAGATTAGCTAGATTCTAGATTAGTTAGATTCTAGATTAGCTAGATTCTAGATTAGCTAGATTAGAGATTAGCTAAATTTTAGATAGCTAGATTCTAGGTTAGCTAGATTCTACATAGCTAGATTCTAGGTTAGCTAGATTCTAGATTAGCTAGATTAGAGATTAGCTAAATTTTAGATAGCTAGATTCTAGGTTAGCTAGATTCTACATAGCTAGATTCTAGGTTAGCTAGATTCTATAATACCTAGATTCTACATTAATTAGATTCTAGATTAGCTAGATTACTTAGATTCTAGATTAGCTAGATTCTAGATTAGCTAGATTATAGATTAGCTAGATTCTAGATTAGCTAGATTCTAGATTAACTAGATTCTAGATTAGCTAGATTATAGATTAGATTAGCTAGATTAGCTAGGTAAGCTAGATTAGCATGATGAGCTAGATTATCGATTAGCTAGATTAGCTAGATGAGCTAGATTCTAGATTAGCTAGATTCTAGATTAACTAGATTCTAGATTAGCTAGATTCTAGATTAGCTAGATTCTAGATTAGCTAGCTTCTAGATTAGCTACAACGTACTGTATGTACTCTTGTACCCCTTTAGACTCTATGTTTCATGTACTGTATGTACTGTATATACTCTCTTACCTTTAAAGACTTTATGTTCTAGTACCACGTACTGTATGTACTCTCTTACTCCTCTAGACTCTATGATTCGTGTACTGCATGTTCTGTATGTACATTCTTACCCCTCTAGACTCTATGAACCATGTACTGCATGTTCTGCATGTACTTTATGTACTCTCTCACCTCTCTAGACTCTATGTACCATGTTCTGTATGTACTGCTTGTAGTGACCTATGTACTGTATTACCTCTCAAGACTCTATGTACCATTTGTCGTATGTACTCTCTTACCTCTCTAGACTCTAGCCTCAGTAATTTCTCCGCATCACTGATAGAATCCAATCCTTTCAGAGTTAGCTTTGTCCTATCTCCAGGTCTAAACATTAAACAACTATTTTTTTATTTCTGACAAATATTTAAATATGACACACATGATTTTTTTTATCGATATTGGAGGGCTTTTGAATTTTGATAGATCAATTATTTTTTTTTTATATGATATTTCATAAACTAAGAAAAAAATTGTCAAATAATTGTTTATTTTATGTAATTGTCATCTTATCTATTTTTTCCCTTTTTTAACTTGATTGAAAATTTATGCAGACTTAATAACTCCCCAAAACTATAATTTTTCAATCCTTATTTCTTTGCAATCTGAAGACTTAGACTTCAAAATGTCAATTTTAGGACATCAAACTTTGAAATATCAAAAGATTCGCTCCATCAGGTTGCAAATATATCGGGAGTAGAAAATTAGAATTAGAGACTGTATTTGATGTTTTTAGAAATTTTGATGAAAAAACAATCTTTACCTAATTGAACGGATAGAATTAGAATTAACTACACCAGTCTGCTCCAGTGTAGATTCTATAAGCGGAGTAAAATCATTTGAGCCAGCTAAAAATATCAATTTTCAGAATTTTTAGAAAATATGTTTTAAAATGTCTACATTGTTCAATTTTTAATGCATAATATGCGGTGGTAGGCTATCATATTAATATAATGAAGACGGCTTTTTTAGTTAAGTTTTAATTGTGAAAAAGCTTTTTTCGAATTACAAGTTTACAAGTAAATAAAGAGAAGCTTTTTCAATTGACAGCTTCTCTTTGTTTCCATGTTTTGTGTATTCATTCTGTTTAAAAGCTTGATGATATAAATCAAAATTAAAATCAAAAGTCGTCTTCATTATATTGATACAAACCTACCACCGTACTCAAATAATCGATGCACATTCCTTCAAATGAAGATCAAAAGTGAATTAAAGAAAACAATGTGAGAAAATTGGAATTTTCCTGCAAGGCCGTTGTCTACACCACTATTAAATCTTGGATCTAAACCTGGAAGAATAAAAGTGAAGTGTTCATGATGCAAAAATGGAAATTGTGTATGACTAGTGACGGGCAATAGCAATGTTAGTTGTTCTAAACTTTTTAAAAAGGTAAAAGCGAACCAAAAACATTTTTAGTTCGCTTTTGGTTAATTGGTATGCAATATCTCCTCTTATGATATAATGTTAACTGAACGTATTTTTGTATTTATGAAAAAGGTAAAAGCGAACCAAAAACATTTTTAGTTCGCTTTTGGTTAATTGGTATGCAATATCTCCTCTCAGGCTAAAACATTTGACTTAGTTCAAAAATAGTTTTTAAATTTTTTTTTCAAACCTCTCAGATACTTGTTGAAAGTTGTAAAAGATGAAAATTTTTAAAATATCTTATAAAATAACCTGGCTATTGCCCATCAATTTGTGTGATACCATGCAAAAATGAGTGCAATTAAAGAAAATGATTAAAATTTATAAAATGTATTTTTTTCTTTTTTTTTGAATCTTTAACATATTCTGTCATACCTTCATCATTTCCAGTTGAAAAACTGTAGCCATTTCCATTGTTATTGAATCCATTATTGGTACTAATTATGTCCCCATTGGCATTATTGTTTAAGCTACTGAGTCCATTGCTGCTACTGCTACTAAAACCATTATTGTTACTGAACCCATAGTCGTCATTGAACCCATTGTTATTATTGAACCCATTGCTAGAACTGGATCCTGAATTCTGGTTGAGATCATTGAAACCTGAAATATTTTGTGTTTGTGATTACATGCATTGGTGAAGTTGATTGGTATTGTTAGAGAACAAAAGAGAATGAATAAAAATGCAGGTAAAGGGGCTGACCGTCTATAGGAGGATATTGAGGTGAAGATGCAGTAACATAGAACAAAAATTAGGAATTATTATATATAATGTGTGGCACAAAATGTGGGTATGTTTAAATACCAAAAATTCATAAAAGTTTAAAATGAAAATGAAAATTTGTTTTTATGGACATTTTTGTCCTTTACATGTTATGTGTATTTACAAATGTTAGTTTTGGGTATGAAATCACCCCTTTAAAGTTGAGTCAACACTGGCACTCACTCCTCAGGCTAGGCGGAGCTGCTACAGCCGTGTATTTGTGTCAGATGAATTCTAATATTTTTACATATAATACTGAGTCCTTGCCTCAATAAACTCTCCTTGCCGGTCATTCCTTTTAAGTGATAAGTGAGAATATATTTTCACCATGCACCATGCAACAATTTGAATGTCATCACTAGGTTAAACCCTAAAGAAGAAAAAAAATCTACAAAAAATAGATTGCTGTTCTGGGCTCCAGTAATTTTTCTGGTAATTAGCATTTTTTGACTAAAAGGATATCATACATATTTATTATAATGACATATAACTTATAGTGATTGGTATTTTGTATTTTTGATGTTGTGTAAAGTTAAAGATTAACTGCTGCAGTGCTGAATTGAGATTATTTCTCAAGATTTACCTCCATTGTTGCTGCTTGAAAAGCTATTTCCGTTGTTACTGAACCCACTATTGCTATTGCTGAATCCATTATTATTGCTGCTACTAAATCCGTTATTGCTGGAATAGGTACTGAGCCCATTGTTACTGTTCCCAAATGAGAGAGATGTTCCAACTGGAATATTTGCAGTGTTCCCTCCACTGAAACTGTTTCCGTTTAAAGAGCCAGTTATAGTGCTGCCCTGTCCATGAAATTGCTAAATTATTTTATTTCTTAAATTAAACTTTAATTTTAGGGTATGTATATTCATAATAATCCTGGAAAAGTTATAAAACTGTTATTTTCTCTCCCCCAATAGTTATAAATATTTAAACCTCTTGACCAGATTATCTAAATAGCAAGACAAATTTGAATTACATAGATAAACCACTTCTCTTCAACTTGAACCAGTTAACAAGAGAAGTGTCTCAACTAATGTCCACACAGTTAAACTACTTCTTGCTTTTCAGAATTTCAAAAATAAATCTCATTAAAAATGTGACTTTTCTTTTACAAATTTCCCTGAGGGGATCCATAGCTATCAGTATTAGATGGTCGGAAGTTATTTTGAACAGGCTGAACACTGTTTACAAAATTGTTGTTGTTGGAATTGCTATTCTGTGCACCACTGTAACTGTCTGGGGCTTGTACACCACTGCTGAAACTGTTCCCCAAAGAATTGCTGTTGAAGTTGTTGTTGCTAAAAGATGGTCTTGAGCCTTGAGAATTCTTTAAACAAAAATAATAATTACAAACGTTAAAATTTGGATTACATTTTATTTTGACATGAAAGAAATTGGATTCTTTGCTTTACATAAACTTGCTTAAGAAATATTGAATTATTATTTCTTGCCTGATTAGGCCCAGATATTAATGGGCCTTGAGGGGCCCCATAGCCATTAGAGGGTGGTGGGGCACCATATGTGTTAGATGGTGGTGGAGCCCCATATGTGTTGGATGGTGGAGCACCATAACCTCCTCCTCCTCCACCTCCCATAGAGTTGATAATATTTGAGTTGAGCCCAGGAATAGCTTGAGCAAACCTATCCAAAGCATTAGCTTTTTGTGCGAGTATGTTTGCTCCAGCTCTAAGAAGACCAGCCTTGGTATGAAGCAACCCAGAAGCAATTCTTCCTTTTGACCTCAGAACTCCAGCCTTTTACCAGAGAATACTTAATTGTATGTCTTCTTAGTAAAGTTTTTTAAATTTAGACATGCAGAAAGAAAAAAATATTTTGAATTGAAACACATTTTAAGTTTTTTTTTGGTGGGTAGGAGGGATTGGATGATTTAGGTTTACAAAAATGGAATGACTATTAATCATTTTTTGTTTAAAATATAAATTAAGATGCCTGCCTTAAATTCTATTGGATTTGGAAGCTTTGGAAGATTTATGTTTGGAATTGGAATCTCTATTACTTTTCCAGGTCCCTTCCCACCACCATATGAGGGTTTGGAGGGTTGGTTGTAGGAGGGTTTGGAGGGGGGGTTGTATGAAGGTTGTGGTTGATTGTAGGATGGAGCTGGAGCATCATATGTAGGTACTGAGTAGCTATTGGATGGAGGTGCACCATATCCTGAGTTTCCCCCTCCTGTAAAAGTGTTGTTTAAAGGGAGTGTCTGGCTAGACATGGTAGTTGAGCTGAGAATGCATTATTGTAGACAATTTTATTAGAAATCATTTAAGACCTAAAAGACATTTGTACAGTGCATAATTGTTTAGTAAGAGTAAAAATTCAATCATTGAAATGCTTCTGGGTTGTCCAACCCGCCAGGCAGGAGTGCAGTGCCGCAACCTGCCCACCTGGTTTTGGCCCGGCAAGTTGTGGTGCAAAAAACCTGCCGGATGGTTGGACAATCAGGAGGATTTTAAAGATTGAATTTGCGCTCTTGCTAAATAATTGTACATTGTAAAAACTTCTCATAGTTCTCAAAGAAATCCTGAAAAAGGAACAGAGTTTTTGTCACAAACTCGAATTGTCTAATCCCTATATCTTTACAATCTGATGATGTAAATATTTGTATTTCAAACTTAGATTATTTGGTCTAACAGAATTCATAGTTTGAAATATCAAAGGTCTACAACATTGGGTGGCAAAGATAAAGAGATTATAAAAGTACAGTTTGTGCCGAAAATTCAGTTCCTTTCCTTAAAATACTGCACTCTCAGCTCAACTATCATGTCTAGCCAGTCTCTCCTCTTTAAAAGGATTGTTTGTTTTATTTTAAATCACATAATATCCAAATTTTTGTATTAATGAGGGACTCAACTTTGTCAATATGAGAGATCTATCTGAGGATCTTAATAATTAATATTTTCTATCTGAAAAAATCGTTGTATTTTCCAGGGAGTGTTATTATCCTGTAAACTGCACAGTTTACAGGATAATAACATTTAAAATTCAGTGATGGTGATGGACCAAACCTCTGTAGAGTAAAAAAGTAGATGTTAGTTCCACAGGATAATAACATTCCCTTTAAATAGGTATTTAAAATCAAATGTAATGTCATGTAAAAGTATTGTGCTTTCCTTTAGATGTTACCTTTAACTTTTAAGTTTGTCTATAGCAATATGCTGTAAAATTATAATGCAAAATCTAATGGAACGCTATACTTTTAATAATAGAGTTATTTTAAGCAGCCCAACCATCACATTCGGGGATCATGCAAAATGTATGCAAATTATTCACCTAACAAAACAACAAGATTTTGCCAATTAACAGCTTCCCTTAGTTTACTTGTGAACTTGCAGTAAGAAACTTATTAGAAATAAAAATTTAAATAGAGAAGGCGTCTTCATAGTATTGATATAAACGACGACCACTGTAGGTTTCAATTGAATCTTGGTTGTTACCTTTATTTCCGATGTCTGAGAATATTCTTCTTTGAAGATCCTTGAGTCGAAGCATCTTCTCTTCATCACTCATCTGATTCCAGATTCTTTCTTCCTGATCCATACCCTCCCATAGGCTCCCTGCATCTAGATATATCATAATTAGTTCCTTTCTTCCTGATCCATACCCTCCCATAGGCTCCCTGCATCTAGATATATCATCATTATTTCCTTTCTTCCTGATCCATACCCTCCCATAGGCTCCCATCTAGATATATCATCATTATTTCCTTTCTTCCTGATCCATACCCTCCCATAGGCTCCCATCTAGATATATCATCATTAGTTCCTTTCTTCCTGATCCATACCCTCCCATAGGCTCCCTGCATCTACATCATCATCATCATCATCAGATTAAAGCCCAAAAGAGATTTGTGATCTCGTAGATCCTCTAGATTAGATATTACATACAAGAATTAGAAAATTAAGATTATTAGAAATTCAAAACGTCTTTGTTATTCTCATATAAGACATCAATCTTATGTGAAATTTACTTTTGCAGTTTACGTGACACATAAACTCTGTTAGAGTAGGTTGGTCCACATCATCAAAAGGAAATGCAGACCTATTAAAATATCCTTTACTTTAAACAAAGATAAAACATTGTTTGTAGAAGAAGAAATATTTAGATTTTTGCCATAAGCCATAGAAATTAACAAACAGAGAATTCCTAGTAGTTTTGGCAAAATCTTTCGGCCCACAGTGCTCATAGTCATAGATTGGTATTTAATGGAAAGTTTCTCATCTAAAACTATCATTAAATTTCATACTGATTTGAACCAAGCATGCCAACTTTCCTATGTACTTTTTTATAACTTTTAAAAATATTTTTACTTTCAAACATTTCTCCTCACAAATATTTACCACAAAAATGTAAAACCACTTAAATACCATAATTGCAACCTTCTTTCATGCATTTTCAACCCCCTCTTTACAGGGTGTTTAATAACATTGAAATATTCGTCTCAAACTCTAAATTTCTAGTTCCACTATCTGTTCAACCTGATGTTATAGACCTTTAGAATTTCAAACTATTATTTCTGATAAATCGATAGTTAAAAAAATATCACAATATCAGGTTGCAAAGAATTTAAAAATTAGAGCTCTTTGAACCTAAACTTTACAAAATTACAATCATGATCAAAATTACGATTGCATTTTTATGGAATCACCCTGTATTTATGAAAGAGTATTAATACACTATAAATCTTGAAGAATCTAGTCAGCTGGTTGAGAAGTATGTTGCACAATTAAGGGAAATCTTCTTTCATTAGTTATACACAAGTAGATCAAGGTGTCAGAGGCTAAACCGATGAGGGGGGGGAACCCTGGATCAGTAAAATCTGTGGTTTCCATTTTTTTGGCCCTAGAAAGAAAAAAAGACAACACCCCCCTTTTACAAATTCCTAACTATCGCCCCTCTGTATATAGTATCAAGAAATATGGAAAATGCTTAAACAAAAATGTTGTTTTAAAACATTTCGAATACTATTTTAGGGAATAAGAAACGTAGTTTTGTAAACATTTTTTGGACACCTTAGTGAAAAATTCGCTAGATTAATTTGTTATATTAGCGCCCCAGCATGAAATTTCTATCCTGTAATTATAGTTTCTTCATTACGATCCAGGGAATATGAACGTCATTTCATGTGACCCTTGGATATCATTATTTATTCACAATGGTAAATAGTTTACTTCTGGGTACCAGTACCAATTCACAATGGTGTCCTCAAAACGTTTAATTGTTGGGTTCCAATAACAAATTATAATCTTCCCCTCAAAACCTTTTGTTTCTGGGTACCAGACCAGTACCAATTCACAATTGTACCTTGAAACATTTATTAACTAGGAACCATAAACACTTAGCAATGGTGCTTGAAACATATATATCACTTGAACAATGGATAGATATTATTAAATGCAACATTTTCAATATTTGGCGCCAAAACAGTATGAAGTGTTCAAATATTAGATTGCAGGAAATGTTTAGAGACTTAATTGTAATTTTACCAAACAATGTTTTAATTGCATTTTCGCTTAATTGCCAGACATAAAGTTGAACAAAAGATGAATTTTGATTACACTAGATCATGAAAAAGTCTAAATCTTGGTTTATAAGCAAAGCTAATTGTTTATATCGTAAATGAGGGGGGGGGGGTTTGCTTAAAAAAATAAATTACCTTCAAATGTTTAAAAAAATAATTTGCACGAAATTCAAAGTTTCTTTTCTGTCTTTAATAGATTTCATTTCTTCCATGTTACTGCCACGCATGTACCCGTAGTTTGAAATAATCAATTTCCAGAATAGAAAAACTAAGAAAGCTCTATTATTTTTCCTATTTAAAGAATTTGAGCCACGTCTCAAATCCGCCCAAAACCGGTTTTAATTGAACTCCGTCACATTGAATACAATTTTAGTAGGACCAACCATATTTGAGCTGCGTCTCAATATTTAAGCCGCGGCTCAAATTCTTAAAATTCTTAAAATTTTACAAAGATGAGACTTCAAAGATTGAATTCAATTTTTTTTTTAAAAACATGTTCGATTTAATTCAACCTCCAAATCTTTGCTTCTAATCTCATAATCTGAGTTCGTTTCCCTTTTGTCCATTTGACAGCCCAAATTTTTATTTTGAATAATCTTTTTTGTTTGCTTATTTTCTTGTGATTTTTAACAATTTTTTAATTTTTTTTTTATCGATTTTGATGGTTATAATGTCGTTAAAACTGACGAGGGTCAACCAAGACCGAAATATATTTTCAATAAAATGTGGAACTAACATCCACTTTTTTTACTCTACAGAGTTTTGGTCCATCACCATCACCGAATTTTAAATGAGTTTTAGGTCCCCCTGTATATATTACTATCATAATCCTACCATGTCTCTGCGAGGTGATGGAGAGAATACTGTCGAGGAAGAAGACCAAGGTCACCAGCGACCTCAACATCGTCCTAGAAATTATATTCATGAAGAAGTTTTCAGGGATTAAACAAATTCATTCCTCCAATCTACTTTTATGTAAAAAGACATGAAAAGGTATTATAATCAAGTCTAACGGAATCATGAGTCTTTCCCACAAACTTAAATTTTATAATCACTTCATCTTTGCAACCTGTTGGTGCAAACCTTTGAAATTTCAAACTTAGATTATATGATCTAAAAGATTGCATAAGTATATGACATTGGGTTGCAAAGATATAGGGATTAGAAAATCAGAGTGTGTGTCAAACACTTAATTTCTCATGTTTATTTCATTTTATAGAAAACAGTCAAATAGAATTTGTTTTGCCAAGACATAGAATATTAATCAACACAATTACCTAAAATTAAGCAATATAATACTCAATGCACTAAACATGTTCAGAGTGACCAGATTTCATCCCGATTTAATCCACCGGATTCATTTGAGACATATTAAACTTTTTAATGATCTGTAAATCCTGAGTTTGAGCGCAAATTCGACGTTCAAAACTCCTACTTTGAGGGTGGATACGTTTTCAGAATTAGTTTTTTTTTTAATTATGTTATGTACAACTTGGATAAACCGAAAGACAACATTACTTTAAAGTACCAACTGTAATTTTTGTTGGAGTTTTTTAGTTCATATTACTTGCTATGTCTTTAATTTGTAATGTGATAAACCCTAAAATCCGATCACTTTAGATTTACAGAGTGACCCACAAAAAATAAGACCTCAGAAACGACTGTACGATTTTTCAGCTGTTTTTCTTGTCATGGCATGTTTAGTGACTTAATGCATAGCAAAATGCTAATTTTAATTTTTAGATCGTCATATTTAAAGAGTTTTAGGTCGTCATATTTAAAGAGTTTTAGGTCGTCATATTTAAAGAGTTTTAGGTCGTCATTAAAGAGTTTCAGGTCGTCATTAACGTCTCATCCTTTGTGGGTCATCCTTAAGCAGTCCCTTACACAATTTTATACAAAACATACATACATGTAGTTCCCACATTATAGAATATATCCCATAATCTTAATACAAAACATACATGTAGTTCCCCCATTATAGAATATAGCCCATAATCTTTATACTAAACATACATACATGTAGTTCCCACATTATAGAATATATCCCATAATCTTTATACAAAACATACATACATGTAGTTCCCACATTATAGAATATATCCCATAATCTTTATACCCAAGAAATAAAATGTTTTACCTGGGGTTTGAGGGTTCCACCAATCTTTTGATTTTTTTCTTCTATTAGATAATTTTTTTCACTTTTTCGCCAAAGAACGAATCGCCATAACTCAAAAATTTGTCGCACAAACACACTTACATAATTTAGATGTAATGTTTCTCATATACACATGCTGACTCCTGCGCGCACTTTAACTCAGGACGCGCGTCTCGTATGGTCGATATAAGACTAAAGTATGGTGAACATATGGCGCGCGTGAGGGTACACGAAGCACGGATAGAAACTCTTGGACAGTGTGTCTCCAAATTAAAGTTCATGTTTTGTTAATATTTAACACAAGGACTCTTAAAAAAATCGAACGCCTTAAGAAAAATTCAATTAACGTTAAATCTTCAATTGTATTTTTTTAATCAACGTTGTGTATTAAAAAATTTAAAGCATTATATCCTTAATCAAACTAAATTATTAAAATTTTAATATAAGTCTATAAATATTATTTGAAACAACATATATATATACATACATTGTAAATACATATGTATCTCCTACACTGCATATTATTTAATCAAAGATTAATTAACCGATCGGGATTAAGGATATCCTAATTCTAAAGTTTTCAGCTCTGATTTAATATAGTCTTGAATGCAATTAATACGAAAGAACCTGTAAAAACTTTCCTTGGGATGTTCAGAAAGATGAAAATTTTACTGTTTGATAATTGAAGGACTGCAGTATGGTTTTGGTGAATTATAATGACATTCTAAGCCGAGAGGGTGTAAGAAATAGTTTTTGAATTTCTTTGAAAACCTAAAACATTTTAATTTTTGATAACACTTTTTATTCTTGGTGATTGCATATATTTATGTAAAACTTTCTTAAACCGACATGTTTTTACTAAATTCACTTTGTTAAAAGTTTAAGTAAAAATATTTATTGATAATTATTGCTTTTAACGAATAAATATCCTTAAACATACCAATAAAAAACCTTTCAGAAAGTAGGTAAGATTCTGTATAAAAAAGTTGCCAAACCAAACAGAAATTTTATTTTTATTAAAAACATGTACAGTGAAACCCTTAATAACGAATACATCAAAAGAATTCATCAAATGTCATATTCTTCACTTTCTGATAATGGAATGTTGCAGATATTTAGGTTATCAACTGCAAACAGACTTAAATTTACTTCAAAAAATTATGCAGTGTACTCAACCCCATTTCAATTAATAAGTTTATTTTCAAGCTACTCGTTAAACTGTTCACATTAAAAGAATAAAATACAAATAACTATCTAAAATGTCGTCTTCCTATTCCACACTTTTAAGGATTCTACGGTGGGCCACATAAGACCATGCAGTCAGGTTGTCCTATTCCAGAGTTTTATGTCGTTAAACAAGTCTGATTCTTTAAATAATTTTTAATGTTCTCTTAATACTTGATAATTCAATAATGAAAAAGTAGCATGAACAGTTTACACATTAAATGAACGTTTTCTACGTTACGTTACAGAATTCTATTCATATATACAGGTTTGATAATAAATACAGGGTTGCCCACAAAACATGAGACTTTAGAGACGACTGTACGGAAGTTGTTTAAACATTGTTTGCACATTCCTGGGTTATTGTTTCAAATACAGGGTTGCACACCTTCTTGTTTCAAATACAGGGTTGCCCACCTTCTTGTTTCAAATACAGGGTTGCCCACCTTCTTGTTTCAAATACAGGGTTGCCCACCAATTATATGAAGCTCTTTAAAACTGTTCCCGCATATTTATGGCTTAAATTTACTTCAGACAATTGTGCAGTGTACTCAACCCCATTTCAATTAATAAGTTTATTTTCAAGCTACTCGTTAAACTGTTTACATTAAAACAATATAATACAAATAATGTTCTAAATGTCGTCTTCCTATTCCACACTTTCTACGGTGGGCCGCATAAGACCAGTCAGGTTGTCATATTCCAGAGTTTTATGTCGTTAAACAAGTCTGATTCTTTAAATAATTTCCAATGTTCTCTTAATACTTAAGAATTCAATAAAAAAGTAGCATGTCACCCCGGACTAACCAGAGTGAACAGCATTCGATTTCTTATATTTGAAATCAAACGTGATTTGGTCTATAGTTCAACAATCTTTTAACTTCATTCAAAATGTATATGCCGACAAAAAAGTGCTTAAGAAAAAAGGCTAACAGATTATGTATAATGGATCAAATTGTGATCGAAAGTAACAGTTTTTTGGAATATTGACATGACCGTTAAATCCACGTGATGTACAGTGTACAGATTAAATAAACGTTTTGTACGTTACGTTACAGAATTTTATTCATATATAAAGATTTGATGATAAATACAGGGTTGCCCACAAAACATTAGACTTTAGAGACGACTGTACGGAAGTTGTTTAATCATTGTTTGCACATTCCTGAGTTCTTGTTTAATCATTGTTTGCACATTCTTGGGTTCTTGTTTCAAATTTATCCGTTAAAAGCCGTTTCCGAGGCACAAAACAACAATTAAACCCTCAGATCGTCCTATTTAAAGATTTCAGGTCGTCATCGTATTCTCATCAATTGTGGGTAACCCTGTATGCTTATAATCAATTCTATTAGAATCATGGAGGACTTAAACTGTTTACAAATATTAACCAATTGTTTATGAAAACACTGACATCATTACACATTAAAACAATCGACGACGAAAATCATTATCAATTAAATTGGACAAATTGAATAATATATAACAACTTTTCCTCCTAAACAGGATACAACAAATTGTAAATTGAAGATACAGAGTGTTACAATAAACATGGGAATTAAGTAACCACAATAAAATCGTCTTTAATCTTCGAAAGTTGTTCGGCTTCGGAGGTTGCAAGATTGTGTACGCCTGTGCGTCTTGTTTACTGTGTACAACGAAAATGAAGGGTTTTCCTGACGACCTCAATCTCAAAGGATGAACAATCTATGATTTGGTTTTTTCATTGCCCTTCATAAATTAATTTGACTGACTGGTTTGGCAAAGAAAAAAAAAAGTTTACAGTTGTTGCAGAGAATATATTTGCAAAAAAACCTGAATTAATTCCGTAATCAGTACACGGCGTACAGTTAAATCTAAATTGTGAACTTTTCTGATAAAAGCTTCACGGATTTTTAATGCCACATCTTCATGTACAACAGACGACATTTCTCCCATGATTTATTATTGTAGATATTACAAAATTAATTTTACCTTCATCAAACTGAATCTTGATTCTTTGAATTTATGAATAATATTACTTTTCTGGATCTGAAACTATTATAATCAATCTCTCATTCATTAACTCATTAATTCATTAATTCATTAATTCATTAATTCACATAATTATTGCAAACAGCAAACCCTATTTAACAGGACTGTTGTTACAATATCAAATGACCGGCCTCCATGTTCGAAAATATCGTTCGTTCACAAAAACGGAATTTACAGTGTATTATATAAATGTAAAATGTAAACAAATTCTGTCTTTACTAATTCTTCTTGACATGCATGTTCTCAGAAGATTAAAAAAAAATTTATTGATTGACTATAAAGCGTAACTTGCAAATTAACACAATATCACACAATATTTTAAAATTTAAATTTTTGTAATTGTTAAAAAATAAATACGTCTTGGATTGATCAAACTTAATATTTAATTATGGTTCTAGGACTTAACCCGGATATTATCAATTTGTTAGATTATTAAAATTTAACATTTTGAAATTATGATTTTTTGTGAATAATAGGTCAGACTCTATCTTGAACATACGGACAAGTTATGAGATTCCTGGAGACTACTCTACTGAATTCCTGGAGACTACTCTACTGAATTTCCTTTATTCTAAGACTAAGAAGCTAGGGTAATAAGGGGGCTTTTAACATTTGGAACCATGCATGAACAGTGAAATTGGTATTTCATATCTCGGTTTCCAATAAGATGTTTGCTCGTGTGAAATTTTATTCTAAAAGTATGTTGTAAATATTTTTTTTTGTAATTTGAAGGATGTTTGTTTGTAGTCTGTGTTAAAGACTCAATTCATTTAATTATTTTCTAGTATATATTGGGTTACCCACAAAGGATCAGATTTCAGAGACGACTGTACGGAATTTATATTGTTTGTTTCCTTGTATTTCTGATTCCCTGTAACCATAAACTTCTTTCTTTCTTTGTTAAATCATTAAATAAGTCATTAAAGACAACATTCAAAGCAGAGGACTTTATTTAAACCAAGGATTGTCATAAGACAATAGGATCAAAATTAACTTATGACTGTTGTAGACACTAAGGGTTGGATATTTTTAAAATTTAATTTCAACTTATTTCTTTACTTAATGTTTTATTGCTGTTAAGTATTTAATATTTACTAGGTGTAATAAAAACATCAATTTGCACAAGATGTGTATTCAAATTTTAACCATATGGTTTCACGTTTACTTAAAAACTGAAAATCCGACGGAATAAGTCTGCGTATTCTTATCCCCCCCCGCAATAATTATGTAGATTTTAAGTTTTTATTCGTGTAAGTAATTCTTATCAAAATTTAAAAATTATCTGCAGAGAGTTTCTGTAAAAAGGTGAAAATCTACAAAATTTGCTTCTTTTCAACCCCCCCCCCTTTTCGTGGACTACGTTCTTCTAATTGCGTTTACGCATAATTATTATTACAAGAAACTTGTGTACTCCATGAGCAGGGTTGGTTCTCAACCATACGGAAACAATTTGTTTTTACGAGTTCTTTGGAATATTCTTTTGACAAATCAAACTTCAATTTTCAGACTGAATAATTTTACTGACATCTTTCATTTAATTTAAAACTACAACATCTTAACTCTTGAGAAGAGAGAAATTTTGTTTAAAATAAACCGCAAACTTTAGAGATTTCAAGAAACTGGGAGATCAGACCTAATACCAGTCATCTTAACATTACAGTTTCTAATTTCAACTGAGATAAAGAAATATCTGCATAAAAGCAAAATTATTTAAATCTAAACCAAAAAAATATTTTGGTTTAAAGCTAAAAAAAATTAAGAATTTGAATACATTTATTTCTAAAATGATAAATTAATTTTTCTTTTGAATCTTTTTTTTATTTTTAATTATATATCGAATAATTCACAATAAACGAAATATTTTCGTTTTGTATTCCCACTAGCTGTCAAATATAGAAAAAAAACAACTGTCTTTGTAATTGTGGGGTATCTAAAGTTTTCTCCTTGACTGATTTGGTAACACTCAAATGTCATTTAAAGGGAGTGACCGGCAATGTATGGGAGCTGAACTGAGAGTGTAATTTTGTGGAGAAATTTTTTAGGATTCATTTGAGACTTATCATATGTTTTTACGGTGGAATCTTTAGAATCCTCATAGATTGTCCAATTTAGAGGACTGATTTTGAGATCGGTTTTTAAAAATTATTCAATAACGATGATGAAAAATCTAGTAAAAGTTCTACAGTAAACTAATTAGTTGATTGAAAATATAAAATTAACTTTTATCATCGAAATTGAGTAATTTTATTGAGTTATTGTTTTCTGTGATGTCTCATTGTTCTTTCACATTTTATGTGGATTTCCTGGAATTTTTTATTGAAAAGACGACATTTGAAAAAATTAAAAAAATCTGCGAACAATAAATCATAATAATAGAATAATAAATTCATTATAATGATGAAAAAGAAATAATTAATTCTAACATTGATTTAATGACAAATTTCGATTGAGAAATATGTTCCTAAACAACTAATTAGTTTATTAAAGAATTTTTGTTACATTTTTCGTCGTCGATATTATTTAAATGTATAATGGTTTTTTGTTTCGTCTTGAAAACAAAAGAGTTTTAAAGGATCGTTTAAAATGAGTTTATAAAATATAAGTCCTGTTAAAAATATAATTTCTGACATAAATATCATATCTTTCTACAGAACTGTCTTTTATTCAAATCAGTAAAGTAAAGTATTTTGATTTTTTTTTCAAAAATAATCCAAAGAAAATCCAAAGAATTGTTTACGCTAAACCAGCCAAAATGCAAGGCCGAACATTTAAATTTTGAAGGGATGAGCTCCACTATGTGGTTAAATCTCATTTTGTTCTGTCATTTCCCTCCTTACCCTGGAGTTCAGGAAAATGTGGTGAACTCTGTTAAGTTTTAATAAGACAATAACCATATAGTTAATAGATATGAAAGTTTGATTAAAGGGTTCATTCGCAACTCTGATCTTTACAGGGTTCATTCCAAATTCTGATCTTTACAGGGTTCATTCTAAATGCTGATCTTTACAGGGTTCATTCACAACTCTGATCTTTACAGGGTTCATTAACTAAATTCTGATCTTTACAGGGTTCATTCTAAATTCTGATCTTTACAGGGTTCATTTTATATTCTGATCTTTACATGGTTTATCCTAAATTCTGATTTTTAAAGAGTTCATCCTAAATTCTGATCTTTACAGGGTTCATTCTAAATTCTGATCTTTACAGGGTTCATTCTAAATTCTGATCTTTACAGGGTTTATCCTAAATTCTGATCTTTACAGGGTTCATTCTAAATTCTGATTTGTACAGGGTTCATCAACTAAATTCTGATCTTTAAAGGGTTCATTATACATTCTGATCTTTAAAGGGTTCAGCCAAAATTCTGCTCTTTGTAGGGTTCATTCTAAATTCTGATCTTTAAAGGGTTCATTCTAAATTATGATCTTTAAAGTTAAAACGTCCATGCACATATGAAAATCAATCAAACAAATCTGTTATTAAAAAGAAGGTTTAAGGTTTAAATGCTATCCTTACTTATATTAAAATAATTTTTAAAATAGAGATGTTTGATTTGGAATAGAAAGAAAAAAAAAACCTACAATTATCTTTTATCTTTTGATTCACATTATTAATAAGTAAACCATCCTTGAAACCACCTAAACTATGGATTTGTCATATTTCTTGTCCTCATATAGGAACAAGGATATTTACTGGTATTTCTTGTCCGCATATAGGAGCAATTGGATATATACTGGTATTTCTTGTCCTCATACAAGAACAAGGATATCTACTGGTATTTCTTGTCTGCATATAGGAGCAATATGCACATATGAAAATCAATCAAACAAATCTGTTATTAAAAAGAAGGTTTAAGGTTTAAATGCTATCCTTACTTATATTAAAATAATTTTTAAAATTGAGATGTTTGATTTGGAATAGAAAAAAAACCTACAATTATCTTTTATCTTTTGATTCACATTATTAATAAGTAAACCATCCATGAAATCACCTAAACTATGGATTTGTCATATTTCTTGTCCTCATATAGGAACAAGGATATCTACTGGTATTTTTTGTCCTCATATAGGAGTAAGGATATCTACTGGTATCTCTTGTCCTCATATAGGAGCAAGGATATCTACTGATATTTCTTGTCCTCATATTGGAGCAAGGATATCTACTGGTATTTCTTGTCCTCATATAAGGTCAAGGATATCTACTGATATTTCTTGTCCTCATACAGGAGTAAGGATATCAACTGATATTTCTTGTCCTCATATAGGAGTAAGGATATCAACTGGTATTTCTTGTCCTCATATTGGAGCAAGGATATATACTGGTATAATTCTTGTCCTCATATTGGAGTAAGGATATCTACTGGTATTTCTTGTTCTTATTTAGAATTGCAAGGATATCTAATAGTATCTCTTGTTCTTATTTAGAATTGCAAGGATATCTACTGGTGTGCGGTGGGAATACCTAAGTCAATTCCTGGTTTTTAACACATTCAATAATGCATAGGATTAAAGTTTAAAGGGAGTGATTATGGATTTCAGAAATCCAAATTTTGACATTTTTAAAATGACAAATTCAAACAGTCATTATTATAATTTTTTTTATATTTGTTAATGCCTTCTTTTTTATGTACGTAAAGGTGGGTGTTAAAGGACTTATTAATCCAAATTAAACCATTAAAATAATTTGAACGAAAAGAAGAAAAAAGAAAAAAAATCTTTAAATATTTAATGATATTTTTTCAACGGTATGAATTATAAGGCTGTTTTTTTAAGTATATGGAAAAAAACGAAGTGTTTAAAAATTAAAACATGATTTGAGAAAAATTAACTTTTGTTGAATATCTTTATTTTTAAAATTATCTTTATTTTGACAAAACATTGTTTCTTGCAGCAGTGTTGGTTTGTTTAATGCTTCCTTCTTCTTCTTCGAGCAATATTTTTCTGAATTATTATTTTGGGGGACATTTCAACATTTAACTACTGAATTAAAGGGAGTGTTTGCAAAAAATGAAAGGGGTATAAGGCTGATATCGAATTGAACTCGATATTGAAAGCTTCTGATTTTACAATTATTTGCATCTATATAAGGAGAAAATTGTTCAAAAATAAAAACCTCTTATACCCTAGAGCGTAACGTCCATCAGATTTAAAACTCCTAATTCAAATACCTACAATTGTCAAATTACATTTATCCATTCGTATAAAGTTGATATTTCAAAATAATTTTTTTATTTTCTTAAAAATTAATATTTCTCTAGAAGCTCGTTTTCATTATCAAAAATCCTCAAAAATTAAGGAATAAATGTTTTCAAAAGTAACACTCGGATCCTAAAATATAAAAAATATTATGAAATATCGACTATATGCGAAGTAACTAAAATGGTAACTACTGAAGTAACTAAAATGGTAACTACTAAAGCAACTAAGCTGGGAACTACTGAAGTAACTAAGCTGGTAACTACTAAAGTGACTAAGCTGATAACTACTGAAGTAACTAAGCTGGTAACTACTGATGTAACTAAGCTGGTAACTACTAAAGTAACTAAGCTGGTAACTACTGGTGTAACAAAGCTGGAAATACTGAAGAAACTAAGCTGGTAACTAATGAAGTGACTAAGTTGGTAACTACTTAAGTAACCAAATAGGTAAATATTGGTAACTATTTAAGTGACTAAGCTGGTAACTACAGATGTAACTAAGCTGGTAACAACTGAAGGGACTAAGCTGGTAACTAATAATGTAACTAAGCTTCTAACTACTAAAGTAACTAATCTGGTAACTTCTAGCGAAACTAAGCTGGTAACTACAGAATTAACTAAGCTGGTAACTTCTGAAGAAACTAATTTGGTAACTACTAAAGTAACTAAGCTGACAACTACTGAAGTGACTAAGCTGGTATCTACTGAAGTAACTAAGCAGGTAACTTTTAAAATGACTAAGCTGCCAACTAAAGAAATGACTAAGCTGGTACCTTCATAAGTGATGAAGCCTGGTAATTACTAAAGTTACAGAGATGGTAACCACTGAATTCATGGAGCAGGAAACTACTAAAGTAACTAAAGTAACTATTTAAGTGACTAAGCTTGTAACTACTAAAGAAACTAAGCGCTAACTACTAAAATAACTCAGTAGGTAACTACTGAAGGGACTAAATAGGTAACTACTGAATTTACAAAGCTGGTAACTATTGAAGTGACAGAGCTGGTAACTACTGAAGTAAATAAGCTGGTAACTACTGAAGTAACTAAGCTGGTAACTACTGAAGTAACTAAGCTGGTAACTACTGAAGTGAATAAGTTGGTAACTATTGAAGTGACAGAGCTGGTATTTACTGAAGTAACTAAGTTGGTAACTATTGAAGTAACTAAGCTGGTATCTACTGAAGTAAATAAGCTGGTAACTACTGAAGTAACTAAGCTGGCAACTACTGAAGTGAATAAGTTGGTAACTATTGAAGTGACAGAGCTGGTAACTACTGAAGTAACTAAGCTGGTAACTACTGAAGTGAATAAGTTGGTAACTATTGAAGTGACAGAGCTGGTAACTACTGAAGTAACTAAGCTGGTAACTACTGAAGTAACTAAGCTGGTAACTACT